AGACTTTAGGGAGTTGATTGTTATTTCCGAGAGAGAATGAGATCAAGTAAAGAATCAGGTTAATCCTAGATCTCTTTGGACAGAGGTCCCAGTCATACTTCCTGGGATCAAGGTTGTTTTGACATCTGTGAAACACATACTATGTATGTGACTGGAATTGTACAGAAGCAAAAATCATTAGTTATGACTGATGCTCTGTAGTATGTTGTTACCAAGGGCGGTCTGTGTGTAGAAGGTGGTTGTTAAGATGTGCTCAGAGGGAAGTCAATGCTGGTTCCATGTTGATGTTATTATTGGTAGCTCCCAGTCCCATCTGTCCCCCTAAGGGACTGTATGCTCTCAGACCTCCAGCACGGACTGACGCACCTCATCTTTTCCACTAACCTGGGGAATCACTTACCATAGAGAACAGCATCCAGCGCTAGGCTAGATCTCAGTCAAAACACATAGGTAGGTTTCAACCAGAGCCATATACTAGCAATCTATCTCAAAGCATCCAACAAGCAGATTATAACCACTGTGATCAATAAGCCATTATACATTCTTATCAATGTTTATAAAGATTGTGGTCCTCTGTAGCTCAGCTGGTAGAGCACGGCGCTTGTAACGCCAAGGTAGTGGGTTCGATCCCCGGGACCACCCATACACAAAAATGTATGCACGCATGACTGTAAGTCGCTTTGGATAAAAGCGTCTGCTAAATGGCATATTATTTATTATTATTTATTTATAAGTTAATTTATTGGTGCGTATTGATGATAGTTATTATAAAATGTTAGCAAATGATTGTTAACATCTCAAAGTACCCAATGTTCTCCTCTAACCCCCATGGAAAATACTCTGAACTTTTGGCTCCTGTGTTTCCGGCTTACAACCTCTCCCTCTTCAAGTAGAACATTATCATTCCCAACAAAGCAGCAACAGGATAAATATAGCACTCTAAATAGCCTAGTGTGGTACTTCATTTTCATTTTTGGATGTAGGGTTCTGTCCTACAGCATAAATGGGGCCAGCTTTAATAAGATTTGCCTGGGGTTGGGCTATAGACCTGGGCTGTTGTATGCATATTTGTGGTGGGCTCCAAACTGCGACATCTGCAGTAGATTCCAAGCACAATGCAGTTAATGTCATTGCTACTGCATTAGAGCATGATAATGAGATGAAGCCAATGTTTTGGATTTCAGATGAGTATGGAAATATAACAGAGAAGCTCATAATAATATGACATTATTATATGGAATTGATCAACTAGTCCTTTTCTTCTGAATGTTTATGAAAGCTGCCTGGAAGACTGGACTGTTTCTCCCTCACTTGGCTGTTCTTGTGTAAAGGTCTCTGTGAACCTCTGACTTGGCTCATGCTTTATCAAGAGCATGTGGAAAAGTGAGGGTGTCTGAGTGAGGGTGAGTCAGTCTCACATACTATGATTGTGATGTAGTCAATCATGGAAATACAGTATAACAAATCAGCTGTCTGTGAGCAGGTGAAAAAACCTTTCTAAGCCAAACCTTCATATCATAACCGCTCCACACAGCCTACATCGTTGTCACTGTATTAGCTAACGTCATAGTCAACATAGCTACTAGAACTAACGCGTTAGTAAACCCGCTACAATCATGCAGTACAGTCGTGGTCAAAAGTTTTGAGAATGACACAAATACAAATTTTCACAAAGTCTGCTGCCTCAGTTTTGATGATGGCAATTTGCATATACTCCAGAATGTCATGAAGAGTGATCAGATGAATTGCAATTAATTGCAGTCCCTCTTTGCCATGAAAATGAACGTAATCCCAAAAAACATTTCCACTGCATTTCAGCCCTGCCACAAAAGGACCAGCTGCCATCATGTCAGTGATTCTCTCGTTAACACAGGTGAGAGTGTTGACGTGGACAAGGCTGGAGATCACTCTGTCATGCTGATTGAGTTAGAATAACAGACTGGAAGCTTTAAAAGGAGGGTGGTGCTTGAAATCATTGTTCTTCCTCTGTTAACCATGATTACCTGCAAGGAAACACGTGCCGTCATCATTGCTTTGCACAAAAAGATATTGCTGCTAGTAAGATTGCACCTAAATCAACCATGTATCGGATCATCAAGAACTTCAAGGAGAGAGGTGCAATTGTTGTGAAGAAGGCGTCAGGGCGCCCAAGAAAGTCCAGCAAGCGCCAGGACCGTCTCCTAAAGTTGATACAGCTGCGGGATCGGGGCACCACCAGTGCAGAGCTTGCTCAGGAATGGCAGCAGGCAGATGTGAGTGCATCTGCAAGCACAGTGAGGCGAAGACTTTTGGAGGATGGCCTGGTGTCAAGAAGGGCAGCAAAGAAGCCACTTCTCTCCAGGAAAAACATCAGGGACAGACTGATATTCTGCAAAAGGTACAGGGATTGGACTGCTGAGGACAGGGGTAAAGTCATTTTCTCTGATGAATCCCCTTTCCGATTGTTTGGGGCATCCGGAAAACACCTTGTCCGGAGAAGACAAGGTGAGCGCTACCATCAGTCCTGTGTCACGCCAACAGTAAAGCATCCTGAGACCATTCATGTATGGGGTTGCTTCTCAGCCAAAGGAGTGGGCTCACTCACAATGTTGCCTAAGAACACAGCCATGAATAAAGAATGGTACCAACACATCCTCCAAGAGCAATTTCTCCCAACCATCCAAGAACAGTTTGGTGACGACCAATGCCATTTCCAGCATGATGGAGCACCTTGCCATAAGGCAAAAGTGTTAACTAAGTGGCTCGGGGAAGAAAACATTGACATTTTGGGTCCTTGGCCAGTAAACTCCCCAGACCTTAATCCCATTGAGAACTTGTGGTCGATCCTCAAGAGGCGGGTGGACAAACAAAAACCCACAAATTCTGACAAACTCCAAGCATTGATTATGCAAGAATGGGCTGCCATCAGTCAGGATGTGGCCCATAAGTTAATTGACAGCATGCCAGGGCGGATTGCAGAGGTCTTGAAAAAGAAGGGTCAACACAGCAAATATTTGTGGTCCTCTGTAGCTCAGCTGGTAGAGCACGGCGCTTGTAACGCCAAGGTAGTGGGTTCGATCCCCGGGACCACCCATACACAAAATGTATGCACGCTCTTTGCATAAACTTAATGTAATTGTCAATAAAAGCCTTTGACACTTATGGAATGCTTGTAATTATACTATACCATAGTAACATCTGACAAAAATATCTCATAACACTGAAGCAGCACTGCACAGTCAGCAAGCAGTTTAGCAGTTACACCGGCTGGCCTCGGGGGTAATAAATTAATACAACCAAAAGTTTACCTTGACTTGGAAGCAGGGCCTAAAATTAACACCCGCCACCTGCCAAATGCGGGTATATTTTGGCATTGGTGGGTAAGATGTATATTTCATCAATGATTACAAAATAATGTACTCCATATTAGAATACGGCTGTAACGTAACAAAATGTGGAAAAGGGGAAGGGGTCTGGATACTTTCCGAATGCACTGTATATCTTCACATTCCTGAGACACCAATTTCCCAGTGTCCCATCAATATTCTCTTCATTCACACATCATCTCCATCGAGGTGTTTATGAGCTCCCAGGGTATGGAATCTCATGTAATGCACCCTGCTCAGCTCGCCAATGAGAGGAGAAAGCAGCCTTTTCTTCTTCTGTTTTAAAAAACATGATAATGGGAACCGTCTGGAAAATTAATGGAGCAGTAATTTATGTCTTGGCTCCTGAGTGAAAATGCACATAGAAATAGTCTGAGAAGCTATTAACATTACTCACTATGTTCCATGCTAAGATTGAGTCTGTAAAGAGAGGTTGTGGTATTTATTTTGTTGGTGTAAGAAAATTGAGCCACCCCTGAGAACGTTAAGGGTTCATTTGAGCAGTCTCTCTGCTTGACTTTGTACAGGTCAATTACTGAAAGTTACCATGGCTTTCCATTGCTCAGTTAAATCTACTGTGGTGTTGCTTTATTTTCCTGTAATTTCACCATGGTTTTGCTCTGTGTTGCTTTGGTAGAGAAAATCTAAGGGCAACTGTGCTTTTTGTCTTCATCCACAAATTGCCATTTAACAAGTGATTGTCACATTGCACCATTCAGTCTGTTGTAGCCTATGGAATTTGAAATATGGAAGTGTTGCTGCCATCTAATCTATGCACAAGCTCTTTCCAATCTGAACCTCTTCAAAAGTTGAATCAAAGTATTCCAGAACCAGGGAGAAAAAACAGGAGTAGAAATACAAAGCGTTCAGCTGTCTGTAAAGCTGCACTCCAGTTGAAAGGTAAACTAAAATAGAATGCTCTTTCTCAGTGGAATCAGGAGGCAAACAAAGCGTTAAATGGCATTGAGATGTGTCCAGTGTTGACTAATGATCTGGATCTGGTCTGTGGCTTTGATTGGTTCTCCATCCAGGAGAAAGAGACTCACTCCTCACAGCACATTGTAATCCTTTCCCCAGTAGCCAGATGACATTGACTCACAACACATGATGAATAACCTAAGCTTTCTGGAGACCCGCTCTCAGCAACAAAAAAATGTAACGGAGGGAGGGAGGAGAGGAAGAGGGGGAGGGAGCTAGGTAAAGGGAAAGATCTGACAGCAGTCAGAACACAAAATCAAAGAGCCAACACCACACTGAAAGAACTTTTGGGAATCCTGACCTTGCACCTATTAGAAATAAAAATAAATTTAAAAAACTCTGTCTGCATGGGTGAAAATTAGATACTCAGGGGGAAGCCCAAGTTCATTTCAGTTGTTGGACAGTTTTCTGCAGGCTAAAAGTTTTGGCTGCCTACTCCTGTACTCTCACCAAATGTGAAATTAAAATCTTAGGTAAAGGAAATCTTATGCTAATGAAGTTTCTATGAGATTATTATGACCAGAATTTTTTTCGGATCAGGTCATGTGGTCAGGATAAACTCCTAGCCTAGATATTATTCTGTGCTTTATAGTTTGATGTGGCTGCGAGCAGTCTGAAGGCACTAGTCTGAAGGCACTAGTCTGAAGGCACTAACAGATGTGTATTGTGTTCTGTGTGTTCCAGGGGAGCCGGGGCCACTACCGGTACCACTGGCAGAGCCACAATGTCAAGCAGAGTGGAGTGGACGACATGGTGCTCCTCTCCAAGATCAACGAGGACGCCATTGTGGACAACCTCAAGAAGAGATACATGGATGACTACATCTTTGTATCCTTCACATTCACACAGTTCACACCTAGATGAAGAATGGCTAAGCCCTGCCATTGACACGCTCTCACTGTTCCCAGAATAGCTGAGTGATCATTCAAAGTGCTGTAATAACTCAGATTAATGATCTAGTGTTTGAGGCTCCAGATACTGGGCTACTCCCACCATGTACCGCCAGTGGAGAGGGGGAGACGGGCCTCTTTGCACCCCTATCTGGACCCCTGACTTCAGCTTCCTTCAGCTTCCTTCTCCTCCAGGCTGGAATGGATCTTAATCAGGTTTACTCTGGTTTAATCTCACCATGCAGCAATATGGAACGAGGTTGGGGGGAAAGGTTCCTGAAAGATGTACAGTACGCCTTGCACAGTGAATGTGAGCAGTGCAGCTACTTTCCTACAACTGCTGTGCTGAGAGCATTCAGGGCCAGATCTGTAAATGCCCCAGGCCCCGTAGGCCAATACAATCCCTAAGAAGACTAGCTAGAGTATTCAGCTTCACTCTTACATACCTCAAGAATATATTGAGATTTAAAGTTTTGTTCTTGTGCCCATATAATTTATCCAAGTAGTGTTGAAATGTTTGGGTCTCTGAATAACCCTTTTGATGGAAGATGTTGAAAGTTCTCGAAGGAGCTCATTAATTAAAACCTCATCTGTGTCTTGGCAGTATTTAGGATTATAGAGTTGAGCGGATGCTGGCCATTTTAGATTGAAAACTCTGAGTCAATCCTCTGATTGTGGTCAGAAAATAGCAACAACACCCGAGTGTTCCAGCCAGTGGTGTACTGGGGCTGGGGTCACTGCAGGACGCCCTCAATACCAGCTTTATGTGCCGGGAGCTGCTTTGGGCTGCAGGGCCAAAACCTCACATCACTACACTGCTGGGCTGTTCAGTCTGATGTGTGAACACTGTGTCTTTACAAGGCTTGGGCCCACTCACCACACACTCCAGTGCTACCACACAGATGCTTATTGCAATGACGTCATGGGCCCAATTACTCACAGTTAGGTCATTTTTCTCCATCTACTCCACGTCAAGATTTATAAATATGTTCTGAAACTGCATTGTCTTAAAGAGTAAAATGAGTGGAGGGTTGTCATTGGTGCTCAATGCAGATGACTAGTGAGCTCTGGGAATTCTTAATGTTATTTTGTCCTTTGACCATGTGAGTCACTGGGACCTGAACGGTTGATATTACTGGTACATATGTGTCATTAGTTTGACCCTTAACCCATAACCTCTACAGACTTACATTGGCCCTGTGCTCATCTCTGTTAACCCGTTCAAGCAGATGCCATACTTTGGGGACAAGGAAGTGGAGATGTATCAGGGCGCGGTGAGTATCCTTTTCTCTTTAGACAGGAGTTTGAGACAGGGTACCAATATTTGGGTAAAATTACAACTCTGCTATCAATGTATTCAACTTGTATCCTAATTGTTTGCACAACGTCACCTCATACCTCATAGCAGCTTAGAGTAATTGTACTTGGAAAAGTTAAGATAAGTCATGTTTTTACGATGATAACAGTAGAAAGAACAACGTTTGAAATGAACTGGATTTAGGTGTGGTTCAAATACCTTTTCCAGCAGCACCCCTTAGTTGGAGCAGATGTAGAAACTTGCCTTACCCATTGAAAAGGCCTGGCAATACCTTCAGTACAGCCTGTTCAAGTCTGTATTATTTTAAGTGTTCTTGGCCAGCGTAGTGAAAGTGGCCTTGGCTGCCAAATCAGACGTTAACTATGCTTGATAAAAACAGTTAGCCCACTGACTTTATTACTTCATTACATGAATTACTCCTAATTCTTTACAGTCTTGCCTTTACAGTCAGTTTTCCACTTAGGACCAAGAACATCGACCCACACAGTTTTTTACGAGATATTCTTAGATCCTGATCTCTGTTGAACCCCCAGGCCCAGTATGAGAACCCTCCTCACATCTACGCCCTGGCAGACAACATGTACAGAAACATGATGATCGACAGGGAGAACCAGTGTGTCATCATCAGGTGAGTCTGCCTGCCTGCTTGTCTCGTTATGATGTCTCAGCCACCTCCTCTCCCTTTCAGTGTTTGTGTATGGGGAGAAAGGCTGACAACCATAACAACAGAGCTGGTATGTGGAAAATGCCTGTGAATGAGGGAGAAGTCGAGAGGGAGGGAGGGGTAGGGGGAGACTGCATGGTGACACAGGTGGAAGAGTGCTGCTGTTGAATATGATGATAATAGATGGGAAGGGGAACAAACAGACCCAACAGGATCCACCACCTGACTGGGAGGAGTGCTGCTGACTGACAGTGCCCTGCTCAGTCTGGGTTCGTCAACCAGAGTCTTAATCCGTATATCACAGCCTGCTGGGAAAGGCAGACTGGGAAAATACACCTCAAGTCAAAATATATGGCCTCAAGGCTCTTTTCTTGTGGCAGCTGGTTGATTTTAGAAAAAATTATCAGGATGTGGAATGAAAACAAAACACAGCATCTATTTATGCATTAGCTTCCTGCTTTTATAAAACAGGAATTGCACCTGCATAGTACTTTGTGGCCCATGCATGGGTCCTCTCTCACGGAAAGGGGAGGAACTGTTCCTCTGCTGTTATGGATTGAGAGCGGAGGAGTAGTGACAATTAACACATTTGGGAGTTACACTCGGATATGGATTATTCGCCTCAGACAGAAAGAGGATCACAAGACTGTTTGAAAACTTAATGGACTCTTTGGCCATGCCCCAAATACAGCTTCCTTTCCTCTTTAGACCACTCAGCTGAAAAGACAGACAGTTGAAAATATGATTGAACCAAACCAAAGTCGGTCTTACCCAGCAGTGGTCAAGAAGGAAATGTAAAGTGGCCTAACTGGCCATTAAAATGTGTTTGGTCACAGCCCTGGATTCCTGGAAGCTAGTGGTAGTCCAAAGATCCTTCCCCCGTGTTTTTGAAGCCTGTAGTGGGTAACGTTACTGTACAATGGGTTCCCATGGGAGGAGGCCTCCGAAGGGAAAAGTGCTGTCTCATAGTTGGGGCTTTATGCTGTGGGCCAGTCACCTGAGGCCCGGGGCCCGGACGGTTACTGTAGTGCTTACCTCATGGCGAATGGCCCATGGTTCAGCACTTTCATCCCGTTGTTTAGACAGCCAGCAGCTGCCAGTACAGTTTCCCACATAAAAGGAATGGAAGTGGATTTGTGATGCACTAGATCAGCAAACAAAGCCCTCCATGAAATTGCTGTCCAGGCAGTGTGGTCAGCAGTGCACTGTGTGGGACCTTTTCCTTTCCCACTTATTAAATAAGTAATTCAACATGACATGAGTCATCTGACGTGGTCAGGTGGTGTTGACTGGGATTTCTGTCAATGTCTGACTTCGCCTATTTTTCTCCACTAAAATTGTTTATTTGTATTTTTTATTAACTAACTCCGTGAGTGGTTAAAACACAAATGATGCCATATGAAATATTGCAGTGCTTGCGCTTCTACAAACACTGACACTGCAATATTTCAAATCACATAGCACCATTTGTGTGCACAGTTTTTACTGTCCATTTTTACCAAGGCTCTGGCCAGTTTACAGCTCTATCCCTGGAAGGGTGTCTAACGAGACACTATATTCTACCCTCTGCTCATAAAACAGTTTTCTTTTGCTTATTAATGTTACCATCATACTGAGTAGAGTAGTCCCTTGGGTCTAGTTCTGCAAAGAAGTGTGTTTTCTCCCCCACTGATATGAAAGGCTTGCTAATGGATCATTGTTTCATGGAAACAATGACATGGGAAATGGAGAATCCATCTCAGTTTTCCAGTTGTCACTGTTAATGGATGGACCCTTCAGTTGGAGGAAATGATGCTATGCAACAAGTCGAAAAGAAGCCAGACTTCAGTCACACCTCATCTCTGTGTGTGTGTGCATGCGGGCCGGCCCATTTGTTTGTGTCATACGGTAGTGGCTTGGGAACACAATGTGCCTAATCATACAAATATGACATAACTGGTATCCAATGTTCCACATCAGACTCTGCATGCATTCCATTTCACTCATAGCTGATGTCTGTAATGATTACTTCAGGTGCTTTCTTTGTCAAGCTGAGCTGTGAGTGACATCAGTGAGCCCAGTGATTCAGCGCTGAGTGTAGCACTTTACAGTAAGCCGTCTATATAGCCCACGACATGACTCTCCTTCTGTTCTTGTTTGGCCAATAAATGGGAGAGGAAGTCAACAATGTGTTTAGTATCTGAGTGCTGTGTAATTACAACAATGGGGCACACCCCTCAGGAGGGTAAAAATAGGACGTGAGTCAAACTCCAGCCCCTAGCCTGCTCCAGCTGAAAAGAACATGCCTATAAGTCCACCGTTTACAGATGTTCTCTTGAGGGTGAAGGTCCTACAAATGCTTATTGGCAAAGATTAGAGGGAACATTGGATCACATTTGGTCACTGTACTGACTGTATTTTGAGTGCATTGTAGTGACCATTACATCTAGAACTGTTAAAGTTGTTTTGGTTTTGAATAGCTGTGTAACAAGCTAGACTGAATACTATAGAGGAGTCTAGTATCGGCCTAAGTGAGATGAATAAGCATATAGAGTTGCTTCGGTGACTTCTTTTGGCTTCCTCTAACGGTCCGCAGCTGGGTCGTCTCAGAAGGGCAATACCGACATGACTCCCCTTCAAAAAATGAAATAAAAAAACAGACTCCTCTCATCCACTGCCAAACCACATATGTCTAAATAAGTATGACCCTGGCGAAGTGGAAGGACAGGAGGAAAAATACAAGGAGAGGTTGAGGAAAGAGAAGGAAGAAAAATAAATGTGACAAAACAGGATTACCCTTCTAGAGTGCGAGGTTTACTGCTGAGCTGAGTCTGATTTTGGTTGGCATAAACCACAGAGAAGGAGAGCTGAGTGAACACAGGACGTGGAGTCTCTGTGGACAGGAAGTGAAAAGATGGTGTTTCACCTGGTAATTCTGGATGTTTGAAAAAAGTTTATTTGAAGTGAAGAGTTTGGCTCAGCTGGGAGAATAAGAGGAAGAGCATTTAGACTGGTTCCAAACTTCTGTTCCTACAACGCACATTGATGTGACAAGAAAAAAAGCCATTGGTCAAATTGAGAAATCCCCTCCTTCAGTAGTAGGCCACCTTCATGCTAATTGGGGATAAGAAGAGACCATAAAGAAGCATTTTGGTAAACCCCCTCTGACCATCTTAAAACCAGGCTTAGAGGAGATTTTCATGGTGTGTTATTTAACATGCTACTGTCTGGTACCATAAACCTACAACTGCCTTTTCAGCTTCGCAGTTCAGTTGAATTTCCACAGAGAAAACGTATACTCATTAACTTATTTCCAGAATTGTGTGTTGCCAAGTGTGCTAAGAGGGACGTCCTCTTGAATAACAAGGCAAGGCAAGCAGAGTAATTATAGCATCTGGTTACTGGCAGCTTTTAACTGTCAACTGATACAGTTGACAAAAACGTGGGCATCCTTGAATTGTACATTGTGTTTCAGAGGAGTGCCCTGTTATATGCACCCTTCTGACCTCTCTACTTTGTGTTTCAGTGGAGAGAGTGGTGCAGGGAAGACTGTTGCAGCCAAATACATCATGGGCTATATCTCCAGAGTGTCTGGAGGAGGACCCAGAGTACAGGTGAGTCCAGAGAAGCTACTTTCATTTTACACTGTGAAACACAGCTCAACTACAGTTATGAACATGTGATTAATCTCAGACGATCACACACACATCCACTGTCATTTACAATGTACCTTATGACATCAGTCCATCCTAATGACCGGTTGCTGTTTCCTGTCTAAACCTCCCTTTTCCGCACCACCCAAACCATCTCCTGTTATCCCTCCCTCCCTCCAATCTCCTATTATCATTATCAGTCCATCAGCAGCCCATCCAACCCCCATATACCCTCCTTCCCAACCCCCACCCCCAGCAGCCATCTGGCCCCCACACTACTCAGCAGATGTCCTGTCCCCAAGCCACCCCTCTCCACCAGCCTCCCTGGTATTATTGGCCCACTCAAAAGGGCTTGGAATTTCCAGTCTGTAGGAATATAAACTGGATCACAAGATGCTTCCACTCAGACGTGATTGTGATGGTAGTCATTTTTTCAGTCTGATTAGTATAGTGCTTTTTTCACCCAGGAATTATTGTACTTTAGTCAAAGTTTCAAGTTCAAAGCTAATGTTAGCTATCACGCTCTCAGTGAGTCTTGTGTAAAAGGGTGTATGACTATTTACTGCACATTTTCCATTTACAGTGCATTTGGAAAGTATTCAGACCCCTTCCCTTTTTCCACATTTTGTTATGTTACAGCCTTATTCTAAAATTGATAAAATAAAATATTTTTCTCATCAATCTACACACGATACCCCATAATGACAAAGCAAAAACAGGTTTTTGGAATATTTTGCTAATTTATTACAAATAATATACATTTGACAGCGATTACAGCCTCGTCTTCTTGGGTATGATGCTACAAGCTTGGCACACCTGTATTTGGGGAGTTTCTCCCATTCTTCTCTGCAGATCCTCTCAAGCTCTGTCAGGTTGGATGGGGAGCGTTGCTGCACAGCTATTTTCAGGTCTCTCCAGAGATGTTCGATCGGGTTCAAGTCCGGGCTCCACTTGTCCCGAAGTCACTCCTGCATTGTCTTGGCTGTGTGCTTAGGGTCATTGTCCTGTTGGAAGGTGAACCTTTGCCCCAGTCTGAGGTCCTGAGCACTCTGGAGCAGGTTTTCATCAAGGATCTCTCTGTACTTTGTTCATCTTTCCCTCGATCCTGACTAGTCTCCCAGTCTCTAACGCTGAAAAACATCCCCACAGCATGATGCTGCCACCACCATGCTTCATCGTAGGGATGGTATTGGCCAGGTGATGAGCGGTGCCTGGTTTCCTCCAGAAGTGACGTTTGGCATTCAGGCCAAAGAGTTAAATCTTGTTTCTCATGGTCTGAGAATCCTTTAGGTGCCTTTTGGCAAACTCCAAGCGGGCTGTCGTGTGCCTTTTACTGAGGAGTGGCTTCCGTCTGGCCACTCTACCATAAAGACCTGATTGGTGGAGTGCTGCAGAGATGGTTGTCCTTCTGGAAGGTTCTCCCATCTCCACAGAGGAGCTCTGTCAGCGTGACTATTGGGTTCTTGGTCACCTCCTGACCAAGGCCCTTCTCCCCCGATTGCTCAGTTTGGCCGGGCAGCCAGCTCTAGGAAGAGTCTTGGTGGTTCCATGCTTCTTCCATTTAAGAATGATGGAGGCCACTGTGTTCTTGGGAACCTTCAATGCTGCAGACATGTTTTGGTACCCTTCCCCAGATCTGTGCCTCGACACAATCCTGTCTCAGAGCTCTACGTTTTTGCTCTGACATGCACTGTCAACTGTGGGACCTTATATAGACAGGTGTGTGCCTTTCCAAATCATGTCCAATCAATTGAATTTACCACAGGTGGACTCCAATCAAGTTGTAGAAACATCTCAAGGATGATCAATGGAAACAGGATGCACCGGAGCTCAATTTCAAGTCTCATAGCAAAGGGTCTGAATACTTATGTAAATAAGGTATTTCTGTTTTTTTAATAATAGCCATTTTAGAATAACGTAACAAAGTGAAGGGTTCTGAATACTTTCTGAATGCACTGTACATGGTTCTGCATTGTTACTGGCTATGAGTCTTATGTGCCTTGCATCTTTTAAATCATTTTAAGATGTTTGTTGAAGAATGTGGAAAGTATCACTATGGACTTAGAATACGTCTATGTGCGGTCTATGTAGTATATTACAGAAAATTGCCCTTCGAAATTCTATTGTTTTATTGAATAAGGTCTCCATTGTGTTGGAAACCCCCTACCTCTCTCAATACCCTTCCTGCCCCATTTAGCTTTGTCCAATCCCTCTGTCCCCATGTCTCATTCACATGGTCTCCCAACTCCTGTGTGCATGTGGGTTGTGTAAGTGCTTGTGGAATGTGTGTGGGTGGGGGGGGGGGGTAATGTTTTGTGAGTGACTGTCACTTCACTACCCCTGTCTACTCAAACAGACAGACTTCTCACCTGACATGAAAATCGATGTTAGTGACAGACACAGTATGTGTTTTTAACCTAGGAATTGTAAGTGTTTTGAAGTCTCAGGTGGCTCTCACAGAGCTGTTTGATTAGTGTCATAAATATGTAAGGTTTAACTGAGCCCTGGGGTAAGTACAACAATCTGTTATAGTAGAACCACCATGACACTAAGGTTTTTTCTTCATAGAGGACAATAGTTCAGGGACGCAAAAGGATTCCAAGAAATCCTACCACTCCACTTCAGCATTCAGTAATAGAGGGGATAAATAGTTCTGTCTCCACGACGCTGTGCTGATTTTAAAACTCATGGTCTCCTGATATGCAGATGGCTCATGGGAAAGATAATGTGCTCCAGACGCTATGAGAGCGGAGCAACGGTGGAAAGTTCCAAAGGGTGCATGTTGATCTGCCAGCATGGATGTGGATAACTGCAGAGTGTAGTAGTGTCTCCCTACCCACTATCTCTATACCCTACCTGTCAGTCACTAAAACGAGCCTACTGTCTGTCTGCTCCCTCACAGCACGTCAAAGACATCATCCTCCAGTCCAACCCCCTCCTGGAGGCCTTCGGGAACGCCAAGACAGTGAGGAACAACAACTCCAGCAGATTTGTAAGGGTCCCACGTCTTTCCAAATCTCTTTTTTTATTAGCGGAATGGGGGCGCCTAACATCATATGGTTGGCACTGTGTTCTGCCCTGGATTGATTTGAAACTGCTTCACAGTCGTTTCCGGAACCAAAGAAAACACAAGGACGTCCAGTGCAAATGGAGAAGAGAAAAAAAGGAGATAGTGAATTACAGTGTGCTCCACTTTTTATAAGCCGTGTTACTGCCTTCTCCCGTCTCCTCTTGGCTGGGGATGCTAGCCTCAAGTGTGGCCTCAAGTGTGGGCTGTGGGGACACACTGGACAGAAAGAGTGGGCACTCCACTGCCAGTAAAGATGCAGATAGAAAGACACATACTATACTTTAAAGACAGTTAGTTAGCTTGGAAAGAGGTTTAAAGGCAGACTTTAGTGCTCTCTAAAGCCAGTTTACCCACTTACAGCATTCACAACAGAGCTTAGTGGTAAGTATTGTATTCAGGTTGACAGACAAGGCAGTATTGTCTCTGTTCTTAGTTTTCCTGGTTTAGTTTGGGGAAAGTAAATGAGGTTTGACACATGGTCTGAGAAATGGTTGAGGTAGTCTCCCTGTATGAATAGTGTCTGTGTCTCAGTGCACTCTGGGGCTTCAGACAGGCTAGGAATGGGATAGACATTACAGAGGACTGACCTGTCTGGAGAAAAGAGGGAAAGAGCGAGGGAGAGAGAGAAAGGGGTCAAGCCTCAGGACACACACACCACTGGGCTGCAGGTGTGCACCCTAAGTACAACCTGTGTGATGGTTGTTATTTCCTGCTCGGAGAGCTCTGGGTTTCAGCTGATACTAAAGCGCCACACTCTCCTCCTTCAGGGGAAATACTTTGAGATCCAGTTCAGCTCCGGCGGCGAGCCAGATGGAGGGAAAATCTCCAACTTCCTGTTGGAGAAATCGCGCGTCGTCATGAGGAATCCTGGAGAGAGGAGCTTCCATATATTCTATCAGGTGAGGGACTCTGGTAACATGGTGTGTTTTTATCATTTTCCTGTTTAATAAGAGTGTTTATGTGCATTTTAGAACTGGGGAAATGTGGACAGGAATTGTCTCACAGTGTCCATGAGTGAAATTCAGCCTTCAGGACACTAACAGTAACAAGTGCCATTTGGCTCGTGAAAGCAGGTTGAGTTGTTCTCACTGTGTACCGCTTGAGGTCTCTGGAAGAGAGGTCCCATAATGCCACTTTCTTGACACATGAAAGGAGAATAAAGCATATAACTCTAAATTGGGTGGAAAACGTGTGGTGCTGGTCACTTAATGAGCATGCGTGTATGGTGCTGACTGTCTAAAAGACTTCTGACATGTAGAAATGTGAGGAAAGGCAATGCGAGTTCACAGGTTGAAAGCTCCTGTAGACCTTTGAGTCTAGAATGACTGTATACAGGTTCTTACTCTTACTTGACAGTAGTGTAATCATCTAACACTGTCTTCTGTTTGTGCAGTTGATAGAGGGAGCCACTGGAGAACAGAAGAGCAGCCTCGGAATCACAAGCCTAGATTACTACAATTACCTCAATCAGTCTGGGTCCTACAAAGTGGATGACATCAACGACAAAAGCGATTTTCAGGAAACTGTGGTACGTTTACTTGGGATCATTGTTATGGTTCTCTCTCTCTCTTTGCCTTTCTTTCTCTTTTTCTCAGTCTCTCTTCCATTCTCCTCTGTTTTGCATTCTGTACCCTGTACTCCACATGTTTTTGTTTTACCAGTGAAACCACAACAGGAGTAATTAGAGGACGTGGTTTGGGTACCACAGCAGTAAGTAAACACACGTTTCAGCCCTGGGTTCATGTCTCCTGTTCTGTCTCTGTTCTCTACCAGCATGCCATGGAGGTGATTGGCATCTCAGGGGAGGACCGTGGCCTGGTGCTGCAGATCGTAGCCGGAGTCCTGCACCTTGGGAACATCAACTTCAGGGAAGCAGGGAACTACGCCGCCGTTGAGAGCGAGGAGTGTACGTACCTACCCTCGTAACTTTGTTTATGTAGAGGGCTAGGTAGAGCTTGTTGCTTGCACCAATCCAGTCCTTTCACGTCTGCGAGGGGAGTCAACAGGGAGTGGGAAGGGAGAAAGTGGTCATGTTAGACTGTCTCTGTGTGTCTCCAGCCTGCAGATTGGCATGTCCTGCTGGTGTTCCTCTCCAATGTCCTGGGCTGCCCTTTATGGGACGGTTAGGTTAGGAAGCACATTTCTCAGCACGCTGCGCTGACTGTTTTCACTCCCCAAAGCTTCATTGTGTTAATGCAGGGCTGCAGCCAAGCTCCAGGCCACGCTGAATTACCAGAGCGTATTACATCACAGACTAAAATTACCCAGAGAAATGCAGCCTCTTCCTGCCCCACCCCTTCTCTCCCCCTGCCCCTCTCTTCCCATTCCTCCCTCCCTCCTTCTCTACATCTCCTTGCCTGCCTCACAGCCACCCATCCAGGCTGAATGATGCAATTTAGCCCCTCTGGTTAGCCAGGGTACAAAGCGGCGTTGTATAGAGTCAGACGTTGTGTAGAGTCTCTGCGTTTCCTCTCCCCCCGTCATTAATTAATTCAAATTAGAATTAAATACATAAATGTGTAATTAAATGTATCATTAATTAATTCAAATACCGATTCATTTTATGTAAAATACATATATAATTATTTCACTATTTACATTTACATTTCATGATCCTGCATTGCAGTGAATCATGAATTACTTAAAACTGTCAAACTGACCCATCAAAGTCAGTGGGCGGGCTAACGCGAATCTAGTCTGATCCATTGCTTTGGTCTGAAGTAGAGTAGGCCAACCTGGATAGAGACAATGGAGGATCTCCGTGAACTTTCCAGGGAGTTGGTTAGAGACATTTTAAACTTAGCAGAGGATGTAGAAGCAGGACCTGCTGACATTATCCGGAATTGATTTGTCTTGGCTTGATGCAGAGGGTAACCAATCAGGCGTTAGGTTCCGCCTACCAACTTTTGATGGGTCAGTTTGACAGTTTTAAGTAATTCAGGAAGCACTCCAACGCAGGACCATGAAATGTAAATGTAAATAGTGAAATTATTATATATGTATTTTACATAAAATGAATCGGTATTTGAATTAATTAATGACACATGTAATAACACATTTATGTATTTAATTCTAATTTTAATTAATTAATGACACATTTAAGTAATTATTTAATGGTGTATTTATTTATTTAATTGTGGCACTTTTAGTCCTCCATAGTCTAAGGCACTGCATCGCAGTGCTAACTGTGCCACTAGAGATCCTGGTTCGAATCCAGGCTCTGTCGCAGCCGGCCGCGACCGGGAGACTCATGGGCGGCGCACAATTGGCCCAGCGTCGTCCAGGGTAGGGGAGGGAATGGCCGGCAGGGATGTAGCTCAGTTGATAGAGCATGGCGTTTGCAACGCCAGGGTTGTGGGTTCGATTCCCACAGGGGGCCAGTATAAAAAAATATATATATATATATATGTATTCACTAACTGTAAGTCGCTCTGGATAAGAGCGTCTGCTAAATGACTAAAATGTAAATGTAAATGTAAGACCCCTGGTGCCCCATATAAAACCACACCAACACAAGTCCACATAAACATCTGCTCACGCTCAGCCAAACAAATCCCTGCCTCAGATCCACGAGAAAGAACACTCCCTTGTACTGTACATATGAACCTCTAACCATCCATCAGACTGGTATGGATCGTTATTTTGGGTATAGATGAACTGGCTGCTTGTCATTGATGCTATCTATATCCTCTTTGAGGAAGAGTGCATTGGCAGGCTACAATAGGAGATGCAGCACGGTCCTGAGGATAGACTTGGCCTGTGCTGTGGTATGGAGTACAGTCGGTCACACCCTCATTTCCCAAATGGGGGCTATTTGATCCATCTGATGCATTCTCAGACACCGTCAGGCCAGAGTCAGACCCAGAGGCTGAGAGCAGTTTCCTTCTTGGGGAAGTGACTCAGTGTAATGAGGCAGGGAGGGGCTCTCAGGAGAGCCCTAATGGCCCTCTTCATGCTCAGGCCTCTGCTAGGAGAACCCATTTGTTGTGGCTATGGCAGGGAAGAGGGAGCAATGAGTCATCACCAGACTTGATTGCATTCTGTTTTGTTATTGAACCCTTTGTTTTGTTGTATCCAACGTCTTCAGAATGTACTGGTGTTTTGTTTCATGAGGAGGGCGTGTGCCACACGTCTGTAGAATGTCTCTTAGTCTCTCTTTCTTCATTCTCTCTCGTCTCTCTCTCTGCAGTCCTGGCCTTCCCTGCGTTTCTGCTGGGGATTGACCAGAAGCGGCTGAAGGAGAAGTTGACCAGCAGGAAGATGGACAGCAAGTGGGGCAGTTCCATGGAGTCCATCGATGTGACACTGAATGTGGAGCAGGCGTGTTACACACGGGACGCCCTGTCCAAGGCCCTGCACTCACGAGTCTTTGACTTCCTAGTGGAGGTATGAATGGATACTCCTTCTCCATGACCTGTTGACCTTTAGAATAATACCCGGTCCTCTCCCCTCTTAAATGGCCAAATGTAACAAAGCATTTTTTGTTTGTTTCAGTCCATCAACAAAGCCATCGTGAAGGTTCATCAGGAGTTTAATATTGGCGTGTTGGATATCTATGGATTTGAAATATTCCAAGTAAGTTTTATGTACATTTGCCCTTTTATGTTTTGTGATTTACATATGGAAATCATAACATAAGGTGATACATGGTCACTACATCTCAATAATCATAGTAAAGTTTGGGTAGTTAAACAGCTTAAAGACAGAGGATCAGACCGATTTTGTAAAGTGTCCGGATTATGTCCCATCTCTTGATTGGGACAACAGTCTTTAATGGACCTTTCTAATCTGATTAGCTGTTTGTTTAGGTTGCATTATTTGGGGGTCTCAGTGATGCCCCCTGAAAAGGACTGTCCTTGATTAAATAATGAAATGGGACAGCTTCAGTATCATAGCGTGGCTCCAGTGTTAAACCATGATGAACGTGTCCTCTGATACCTAACAGGACCTAATGTTAAGTTGTATGTTTAGATCGCATACAACTGTTATCTAAACAGTTTGGTTGGGTGAGATCCAGTTTGTCCATCCACAGTCCTTATGTTAATACACAGGCCTATTATTAACGAAGCACAGAGAAATTAAACCTCCTGTGTTAGTGCTCAGAGGGCCTGACAAGGGAAACAGTGGGTTTCTTTAGATAACACCATAGTTCCCAGGTCCATTGTGGTGTAAAGTATTATGTAGATGTTTCCTCCAGCCATGCCAGGCTGACTGGTAAATAACCTCTCCTCATAAACAGGGCCCATTCAGGAAGCCCAGAGGATATCCCGGTCTCTCTGTGGCCATATGGATGACTTAACTCTCACAGCCTCTCTGGTTTATCACTAATACATCATCTCTTCTTGTGTAGAAAAATGGCTTTGAGCAGTTTTGCATCAACTTTGTGAATGAGAAACTGCAACAGATCTTCATTGAGCTCACACTTAAAGCTGAGCAGGTAATATTTTGGGCTTTTCACTCATTGTTCTCACACCTTTTCACCAGCAGAAGCTACTTTTCTCATGTTTAAGTAGCGAATCATCGTCTGACCAATCACTCTCCTCCCCCCTCTCTCTCTAGGAGGAGTATGTACAAGAAGGCATCCGGTGGACTCCTATCGAATACTTTAACAACAAGATCGTCTGCGATCTCATTGAGAGCAAACTGGTAAGCACAGAGTCCCCAGTGCTAAAGGGAAATATATATTTTTAAAGGATGTATGTGTATGTGTGTGTATATGTATGTATATATACATATATATATATGCGAGAAAAAAAACATATGGGGGATTGGAAGTGATGCAGACAATTACATTGATGGAAGTTACAATCTATCTGCAATATTAAAGCTGATCTACCCCCTGGAAAAAACAAAAAATAATAATAATAATTTACAAGAGCTGCATTTCCACTGGTGACAGAAACCTGTGTTCTCTCTTTGTGACTTTGCCACATCTAAAGAGCCAGAGACACTGCAACTACTGTCCCCAGTGAAGGCCACTGGCCGCCGTGTCCATGGACACCGTGTGGAGCCAGATAGGGCAGCAGTTGTGTGTGTGTGTGTGTTGTGATGACATCATTCAGTGTGTGGGTGTGTGATGTTCTGGGATGCAATGTGGTAGCTAATTCTGAATTGGCTCTGCTGTTATGCTTCGAGCTGGTCGAGTACACAAACAAATAAACCAGGTTCATCACTTTAGTCTATCCATGACATTGATGGATAGAAAGTTGGCATTGTCAGTTATAATCAAGATGGTCATAGGGGGCATGTTAATGTTTTAGATCTAATATCTTGGCTGAGGTTGTTCTCTGTGCTCATCTCTTTGGTTCTACTCCCAGAACCCCCCTGGCATCATGAGCATCCTGGATGACGTGTGTGCCACCATGCATGCGGTGGGCGAGGGGGCAGACCAGACCATGCTGCAGAAGCTAAGGGTGGCCATCAACTCCCATGAACACTTCAACAGCTGGAACCAAGGCTTCATCATCCACCACTACGCTGGCAAGGTCGGCAACACTGCAGTATACCTCTCTCTCCTCTCCTCTCCTCTCCTTATCCCTCTCTCCTCTCTTGCCTTGTCTCTCCCCCTATCTTTCTCTCATTCTGTCTTTCACACCGTTGTGCTCTTTCTTCTTCTCATACCGTCTCTCTCTTTTTCCAGTCCTTTTCTCACTGCCTTTATCCATTTCTCTCACCCTTTCATTCTCATGGTCTGTGCTGTGTTTGTTCCATCTACTGCTTCAGATGTGTTTGGGTCTCAGCCTGGTACACTCTACATGCCACAGGCCTAATGAGCCATGGCATAAAGGCTTGGAGGGGTCCCAAGCCATCATGGCTTAGAACAGTCCTACAGTACCACCCCAGTGGCAATAACGATGATCTATACACACTATGTATATGAAGCTGTAGTTGGGAAGCAAGCTTAAAAGTTGAACATTGATTAGTGGTCTTGGTGCCCTGACTTGTTTCCCCGTGTAGCTCTGTTGGTAGAGCATGGTGCTTGCAATGCCAGGGTTGTGGGTTCGATTCCCATGGCGTACCAGTATGAAAAAAGTGTAAACATGTAAATGTCTTGCAGAGAACATGTCATCAACCGATTCTCTTTTGTCAATTAATTATTTGTTATTAACATTCTCTCAGTTCATTTTGATTGGGCACCTGGACTGAGCTGAGGGTACTAACTGCTATCTGAATGGGTTAACTGTGTGCTGTGATCATCACTAACCCTCTAACATCTCTCCTCCAGGTGTCCTACGATGCAGAGGGCTTCTGTGAGAGGAACCGTGACGTCCTCTTCAGTGACCTCATCGAGTTGATGCAAAGCAGTGAAATGTAAGTCATTCATCACTTATGCAAGCATTAGAGAGCATATGCGGCTGCCTGTTCTTTCTGAGACCGGGCTGAGCATTTTGTTTAGAAATCCACAAAGAGAGATCTTCTATTATGATGTATATGAATGGATGTATCTGAATGAGACTTGCAGATTACTAGTGCAGCTGGAAAAGGCAGTACAATAGGAGTGTGCTGGGGGTGCTCTCCCCTGTCTGTCTGCCCCTCTCTAGAGCTGTGTTTTGGGGGTTTGCTCATGACTTTTCAGGTCTGGAGAGTGTCTCACAGTCTCGCTAGGGAGCCACATTGAGGAGTAGACTCCCCTGCCCGTCTTGTGCGTTCCTGGGCCTCCTTTGAGCCGCCAGTGGCCATCTGTGCAAACAGCCCCAACAGCCTCTAAAGCCCTTTTGTGTGTAGCCTGCAGGGGGGCTGCAGGGTGGGCCACGCAAAGACCCCAAGACCCCATTCAGACACGTGCTCCCCCCCCCCCCCACACACACACACACTTATAGACACACAGACACAAACGTGTGGAGGGAAAGAAGCCTCATTCCTTAGCTCAGCAGGTCTGCTCAGAGAAGAAAGAAAATATAATTATAGTCAGCTGGACATTGTTAGCGTGCTGCTGGTCCATCTGCACACACAAAGCCCACTGATCCACCCTTATGTCCCCATGGCCTTGATTAAAAAGTTTAAGACCAGACAAATACTCATGCAGGGAAGATGGTAGCTCTTATGTGTAAACGTTTGCACATTTTTTGTCCTGAAAGGCCCTGTATTTGTTTCTACTTGACTAGTAAGTTTGTCAACAACAAATAAATAATTCCTCAAGCAGTAGATTTCTTGAACTTGAACCTTGTTAGTTGTTATTTACAACAGGTTTATTTGAGAACTGCAAAATGAGCACTTTGAGCACTTCAAGTGATAAACAGAAAGGTTGAGATCAGAACTGTTAAGAGGTTCCTGAGGTTCTGGAATGCTGGCAACTATGTGCTACATTCTGACCAGCACACATCCATCATGGGTTTAGAGACCATGTTGTGAGTGAGGACATTGACTAGCATGATTTAAAACGAATGAGAAAATACCATATTTGCTGGTATAACTTTCCAGTCACAGTTCAATAAAAATGCACATTTTCGAGGAAGTGAAAGTCAGTTTGGCAGGAGAGCAGATAAAAACCACAATTATTCAAACTCCAGCTCAGTCCACTGAAGCTAAACAACAATGTGAATTGAGTCACTGGCAGCCAGCTCAGAGATTCCACAGACCAGAGTTTGCTGCTTCTAAGAAAAGTGGAAAACAGTCCTAGCCTGGTCTTCTATACACGTTGCCAATGTTGTCTATCAGTCCTTATTATACTCTGTGTCTGGTTCTCCTCTACAGAGCTTTCATCAGGGCCCTGTTTCCAGATAACCTCAACACTGAAAAGAAAGGCCGGCCGACGACAGCGGGCAGTAAAATCAAGGTGTGTTGAGCAGCTGTGAGACGTGTTTGTACGCCGTACATCTGTGACATGGGTATATCAATGGGCCACGCGCCTACTTGCCCTTATCACTCTCTGTCAGGTGCAAGTCCAGAGCCTGCGGATGAAAAGCTCATTCACTCCAGTGTTGTTTGAGTGTCGTCTCTATGTAGTTCTAGTGATGACAGTTTTAATCAGGGACGTGGTGCCAGGTTCTCTCTCTGACACCCATCAGTATCTCTCAAGCACAAAGATACCACCTTGTAATCAGTCTCGTCAGTGCTGTGTCCCTGAACACTACAGCTTGGAGTACAAACAGTGATTCAACAACAACATCTAGATACAGTTGATATGTTTTAAACACAAACTATTCTTCCTCCTCTTCTTCCTTCTCCGTTCAGAAACAAGCGAATGACCTGGTCCAGACGCTGATGAAGTGCACCCCTCACTACATCCGCTGCATCAAACCCAATGAGACCAAGAAGCCCAAGGACTGGGAGGAGAGCCGGTGAGTGTCTGAACACTGAAATGTCAGGGAACTGCAAAATACATAGTTTTTGAGATGTGTGTGAAAGTGTCAAACTAAACTGGTTTTTATTACATAATTTACAGTCCGTTCTGGAGATTGTCAAATGATATTGAGCAGGATATCACATTACTCAACTCAATGTTGTTAGGTCTGCTTGTTGAATCACTCACTGGTATTGTATTTAGTCCCTGTTCTGGCCTCTTTAAGACTGTGTGATGGAGGAAGTCTCTGAGACACTCTTACTCTTACTCCCTCTGTTTTTCCTTCCCGCTCTTTTTTCCCTGGCTGGGTACGAGATGTACTGATGCAGGGGGCTGTATTGTTCAGGCCTAATGGCCTTCCTGTTGTGAGCAGCAGTGAGCTGGGCTCAGGCTCAGGTTGGAATGCCTAATTAGCACCGGAACTGCCGTTTTCACAGGAAGCCTGGGTGCATAAAGAGATTCCTTAGTTCCTTATTTTATAGCCCCACCATAAGTTTCAATATAAAATATAATTGATCTATTTAGATGTATCTTAGAAATGGAAGTAGATAGATGTGCTGACAGATGAACGTTTTCACCAATATATCTTTGTGGTGAAGGGTTGGTTGAGGCATCTGACCAACCTTCTTCCTACATCCCAGCCAGACTGACCCTGTATTCCCCTCTCTCTCTTCTTTCCTCAGGGTAAAGCACCAAGTGGAGTACCTGGGCCTGAAGGAGAACATCAGGGTGAGGCGTGCTGGCTACGCCTATCGCAGAGTCTTCAGGAAGTTCCTCAACAGGTAAGGCCCTTCCTTCTGGGGGAAGAGTGGCATAAAGGAATGAATTAATTCTACACTTTCAGTGTATGAGTCACTTTCATGTGACACTATCTGCCCTGCCCTCCCAGAATAAGGACAGCGGTAAGTTTTGTATACCCATATCCCAGTCAGCAGCATAGGGTAGGGCGGCCTCTCTCTCATCTCTCTCAGGAAAAGGATATGCAGGCAATCAGGAAGTGCTCACTTTGCTAATGTTAGTTTTGGCAGGGTCGAGGGCCTGCTGATGAGAACCACTGCTATAGAACACAGGGAGAGCTCAGGGCTTCTGTTGTAGGCTTTACTGTATCATACGCATATGAGAGTCGTCAAAAAAGCACTGCTGAGTTTAGAGTTTGGTTATTCTATTGTTAGACTTGTGGTGTGGCAGTGCTAGCTGTGCCACTAGAGATCCTGGTTCGAATCCAGGCTCTGTCGTAGCCGGCCGTGACCAGGAGACCCATGGGGCAGCGCGCAATTGGCCCAGCGTCGTCCAGGGTAGGGGAGGGAATGGCCGGCAGGGATGTAGCTCAGTTGATAGAGCATGGCGTTTGCAACGCTAGGGTTGTGGGTTCGATTCCCACAGGGGGTATGAAAAAAAATAATGTAAGTCGCTCTGGATAAGAGCGTCTGCTAAATGACGTAAAATGTAAAAAAAATGTAAATGTGTGGTGAATGTATTTTCTTAATGCGCCCCAGGCCTCTTTCCCCCTCCCTTGCATCATATAGGGCAGGTATAGCAATAGCATACCGCTCCTTAATGCCTAGCATAGGCCTTACATTGCTCATACGCTTAACATATACAATCCCTCGCAAATGCTGCAACAACATTTCCAAAATTCAAAATGAGGGTTTGGTTGTGGATATTCTCTCTCTCTCTCTCTCTCTCTCTCTCTCTCTCTCTCTCTCTCTCTCTCTCTCTCCTGCCCTCTCTCTCCTGCCCTCTTTGTCTTCATGTAATTATCTCTCTCCCCCTCATTATGTTCCTCAGGTATGCCATCCTGACTAAGGAGTCGTGGCCTACATGGTGTGGAGATGAGAAGCAGGGTGTTCTTCATCTCCTACGTGCGGTCAACATGGACCAGGACCAGTTCCAGCTTGGACGCACAAAGGTCTTCATCAAAGCTCCTGAGTCGGTAAGACCACCCCCCTCTGACCTGCCTGCATACAGTTAGACCACCCCCCTCTGACCTGCCTACATACAGTTAGACCACCCCCCTCTGACCTGCCTACATACAGTTAGACCACCCCCCTCTGACCTGCCTACATACAGTTAGACCACCCCCCTCTGACCTGCCTGCATACAGTTAGACCACCCCCCTCTGACCTGCCTACATACAGTTAGACCACCCCCCTCTGACCTGCCTGCATACAGTTAGAGCACCCCCCTCTGACCTGCCTACATACAGTTAGACCACCCCCCTCTGACCTGCCTGCATACAGTTAGACCACCCCCCTCTGACCTGCCTGCATACAGTTAGACCACCCCCCTCTGACCTGCCTGCATACAGTTAGACCACCCCCCTCTGACCTGCCTACAAACAGTTAGACCACCCCCCTCTGACCTGCCTGCATACAGTTAGACCACCCCCCTCTGACCTGCCTGCATACAGTTAGACCACCCCCCTCTGACCTGCCTACATACAGTTAGACCACCCCCTCTGACCTGCCTACATACAGTTAGACCACCCCCCTCTGACCTGCCTACATACAGTTAGACCACCCCCTCTGACCTGCCTACATACAGTTAGACCACCCCCCTCTGACCTGCCCACATACAGTTAGACCACCCCTCTCTCTGACCTGCCTACATACAGTTAGACCACCCCTCTCTCTGACCTGCCTACATACAGTTAGACCACCCCTCTCTCTGACCTGCCTACATACAGTTAGACCACCCCTCTCTCTGACCTGCCTACATACAGTTAGACCACCCCTCTCTCTGACCTGCCTACATACAGTTAGACCACCCCCCTCTGACCTGCCTACATACAGTTAGACCACCCCCCTCTGACCTGCCTGCATACAGTTAGACCACCCCCCTCTGACCTGCCTACATACAATTAGACCACCCCTCTCTCTGACCTGCCTACATACAGTTAGACCACCCCTCTCTCTGACCTGCCTACATACAGTTAGACCACCCCTCTCTCTGACCTGCCTACATACAGTTAGACCACCCCTCTCTCTGACCTGCCTACATACAGTTAGACCACCCCTCTCTCTGACCTGCCTACATACAGTTAGACCACCCCCCTCTAACCAACCTGCCTGCATACAGTTAGACCACCTCCCTCTAACCAACCTGCCTGCATACAGTTAGACCACCCCTCTCTCTGACCTGCCTACATACAGTTAGACCACCCCTCTCTCTGACCTGCCTACATACAGTTAGACCACCCCTCTCTCTGACCTGCGTACATACAGTTAGACCGCCCCTCTCTCTGACCTGCCTACATACAGTTAGACCAACCCTCTCTCTGACCTGCCTACATACAGTTAGACCACCCCCCTCTGACCTGCCTACATACAGTTAGACCACCCCCCTCTGACCTGCCTACATACAGTTAGACCACCCCCCTCTAACCAACCTGCCTGCATACAGTTAGACCACCCCTCTCTCTGACCTGCCTACATACAGTTAGACCACCCCTCTCTCTGACCTGCCTACATACAGTTAGACCACCCCTCTCTCTGACCTGCCTACATACAGTTAGACCACCCCCCTCTGACCTGCCTACATACAGTTAGACCACCCCCCTCTGACCTGCCTACATACAGTTAGACCACCCCCCTCTGACCTGCCTACATACAGTTAGACCACCCCCCTCTGACCTGCCCACATACAGTTAGACCACCCCTCTCTCTGACCTGCCTACATACAGTTAGACCACCCCTCTCTCTGACCTGCCTACATACAGTTAGACCACCCCTCTCTCTGACCTGCCTACATACAGTTAGACCACCCCTCTCTCTGACCTGCCTACATACAGTTAGACCACCCCTCTCTCTGACCTGCCTACATACAGTTAGACCACCCCCCTCTGACCTGCCTACATACAGTTAGACCACCCCTCTCTCCGACCTGCGTACATACAGTTAGACCACCCCTCTCTCTGACCTGCCCACATACAGTTAGACCACCCCTCTCTCTGACCTGCCTACATACAGTTAGACCACCCCTCTCTCTGACCTGCCTACATACAGTTAGACCACCCCTCTCTCTGACCTGCCTACATACAGTTAGACCACCCCTCTCTCTGACCTGCCTACATACAGTTAGACCACCCCTCTCTCTGACCTGCCTACATACAGTTAGACCACCCCTCTCTCTGACCTGCCTACATACAGTTAGACCACCCCTCTCTCCGACCTGCGTACATACAGTTAGACCGCCCCTCTCTCTGACCTGCACACGTACTGTGAATATGTACTGTACGCCAGCCTCTTCCAGTAAGTATACATTCAAGTAACCCATTCCATAAAACTGTACCACCAACCTGCCTTCGTCCAATGAAAATACCACCTACCTAACTTTTTTCTAATAGGTTAGAACAGGCGTAGAATTAGACCTCTCATAGGCTACAGGCTGCCATGGTGTCGTTGACATGTGCGTTGGCATGCAATAATTCTGTTGTCAGGGAGAGAAAAATCCAAGACTCAACACCATAAAAGGTACTAGTATGCAGGAACATGTCAGGATGTCTGTGATTGGGGAGCAGGAAGGAGGGGGTTAGACCCAGCTCTGGTGCCCATGTCAGAGCTGTTGAGTCAACACTACACTGAAACTCATACACAAGTGCGAGGCTGTGGTCAAGGAGGTGGTGGGACATTGGAAGGTGTTTTTTCCACCATAACTGCACTTTTTTTCACTGCTCCAATGAAAGCCGTGCTTGTGGCTAGCCTGTGAGATCACTTATTGACATCTGTACACGCATACATGAAGATACATTACATAGTCCTGAATCAGGCCTTGTGTGATTGCAGCAGCAGACTGCCAAGCTCCCCATCCCCCCTCCCCCCACATTGCCCTCCTGAGCCCATGTGACTGAGGTGTGCTTATGAAACACAAATATCACACAGGGGCGGCCCCTGCGATTACCCAGCCGCCAGGCTTCTCAAAACAAACCTCCCTCTCTGATAAGGCGCTGACACAAAGTCATTAGTTCATGGCTAAAGCATTTTTTTTCTCTTCATGCAATTAGATTACATAGTTTGAGTCCAGGCCAAGAGTAGAATCACTCTCTCTTCAGAGTAGACTGTCTCACAAGGTGCTAATGGGTAGCCCTGTGAGGTACTGTCTGTCAGAGGTGTCACAGTGTCAGGTGCTGCTCAGAGTTAAAGGTCTGGACGACTTAAAACACTCCCAGCCCACTGGCTACACAGTCTCTTGAACAATTATCTCGTTCCTTTCATAGTCATTCTTATAATCAGTATTGTTTTTTCCCCCATTTTATTTTAACATGTATAAAACATTCTTCATTTTGATAAATCAATCATACTTTATATTCTATTATGAACATACTACTCATACTTGTTTTTATTGCATTTTTTTTCTTTAACTTTTTATTTTTGATTGATATTGTTATTTTACTGCATTGTTGAGGAGAGTTAACAGGCAGGCATTTCACTGCACCGTGTGCATGTGACCAATAAACTTTGATTTGGCATTGGTGAAATATGTGACGGCTCTAGTTTGAATGTGTTTAGTAAGTAAAGAGTAATTTGATGTAAAGTGATGGGACAAGACCGAGCCTGTGTGGCCTGTGCCAGGGGTGTGGCATTGCCAGGGCTGCATCAGGCGCGTGTGAGTGGGCATGATGTTTAGTCTGGGACAGGGCAGGGGGAGATTTGATGCTGGGTGTCTGGGGGGCCATCAGGAAATGAGAGGGAGGGAGCAGAGCCAGGGTGGGCTTAGGGCTTGATGGCCCACCCATATGGGCCTGGACATTGGAGAAAATAGCATATTAGGCAAGGCTCCTTGCACTGGATGGCTCATTAGCCATAACCAATTAATTTAATCAAAGTGTTATCAAAACAGTCCACTTTTCGCTTAGGAGAGAAAATATTATAGTGTTATGCTATTATATACTCATAGGAATCTGAAAAAACCTGACAACTTGGAATTGTGTTTGTATATTCAGATTTCTTCAGGCATTAACAGTGTGTCTGTTCAGTCATCCCTGTCATTGTATTTGGGTGTGTCTGTATACTGAGGTATGCCCAGTATGTTATGTTCAGGTATAAATGTTTTCATATCTGTGCCTCTCTCTACAGCTCTTCCTGTTGGAGGAGACAAGGGAACGTAAGTTTGACAGCCACGCCAGGGCCATCCAGAAAGCCTGGCGCAAGTATGTGGCCCGCAAGAAGTACGTACAGATGAGGGAGGAAGGTGAGTGACACTCACGTTTTGAAAAAAACAAAATAGCCTAATCATCATGACTAATGTTCAAGCTTAGATGTCAAACAGTATCAAGGTTCTGGTCTAATGCTTCTAAAAATGAACTGAATTGAGATTGTATGTATGCATTCTTGTCTGACTGCCTGTCCCTGTGTGTCCGTCCCCAGCCTCTGACCTGCTGGTGAACAGGAAGGAGAGGAGGAGACACAGCCTCAACAGGAACTTTGTGGGGGACTACCTGGGTATGGACGACAGGCCTGAGCTACGACAGTTCCTGGCCAAGAGGGAAAAGATTGACTTCGCTGACAAAGTCACAAAATACGACCGTCGCTTCAAAGTGGGTGTCTTGAACAGCAGACTTCTCTGTTTGTTTGTTTTTGATATTGTTAGTCCAATGACCATTTGTTTCCTCTCTGTCCATATGTGTTTCCAGGGCATTAAGAGAGACTTGATCCTGACCCCGAAGTGTATGTACCTGATCGGGAGAGAAAAGGTGAAGCAGGGCCCTGAGAAAGGTCAGGTGACCGAGGTGCTGAAGAGGCGGGTTGATGTGGAGAAGATCCTGGCTGTGTCTCTCAGGTAAGACCCAGATATTATGACCCAGGTCCTGGGCTCCAGGAGAGGCTGGCAGGGTCTGCCTAGCCCCATACTGAGTGTTTAGTGTTTATTCCCCTTAGGCAGTAAGAACACACATGACCAGCAGACTCAAGGCCTCACAAAGTCAGCTAGTTAAAGTGTAACACTTTTCACCAGCGGTCACAAATAGATAGTTGCACAATGTACTGTACATAGATACTCTTGGTCTTGTCAGTGATGTCATTATCTGTGACTTACAATCCAAACAGTTGTACGTTCATGGTATCCGGGTTTCGGTGAAAATAGGTTTGATATTTTCAAGTACAAAAGATACTACTCACTGGGTCTCAATAAGAAACTTGATAAACAGCTCCGGAATCAGCCTCCCATTACACATTAGATTATTCTTTCAGCTCACAGAAACCCACCATGTTAAGCTACAGCTATCTGCAGAAATGCAAAAGCTACAAAGTCTGGATATATGATCACTCAAGTCCCCTTGTTCCTTTAAATGTCACACATGAGATATTAAAAACATGGAAAAGATTCAAACCTCCTCTGGTATATGTCTGCTCCTGAGCATCGCAGTGCTAACTGTGCCACTAGAGATCCTGGTTCGAATCCAGGCTCTGTCGCAGCCGGCCGCGACCGGGAGATTCATGGGCGGCGCACAATTGGCCCAGTGTCGTCCAGGGTAGGGGAGGGAATGGCCGGCAGGGATGTAGCGCAGTTGATAGAGCATGGCGTTTGCAACGCCAGGGTTGTGGGTTCGATTCCCACGGGGGGCCAGTATAAAAAAAATATATATATAAAATATGTATTCACTAACTGTAAGTCGCTCTGGATAAGAGCGTCTGCTAAATGACTAAAATGTAAATGTAATACACGTTTTCACCTAGATAGTACATTTGCATGTAAACGCCAAACGCTTCTGAGTAATTATTTTATTCGACCTTTATTTTACCAGGCAGGTCAATTAAGAACAAATTCTTATTTACAATGACAGCCATTTGTTTTGTTGAAGTCACCAGTAAAGACAAATAATACTGACAGCGTCAGCCCAGAGGTCAGGTCAGGTAAATTTTTACGACCCACATTATTCTATGACCCACTAAGCTACATTTGCATTTAACCAGTGAGGGGAAAAAAATAAGAAAATACATTTGACTGGTCAAAGCCGTGTTTAACACTCAACTAGATTATGAGTGTAACTGTAGGACTTGTATTATCCTCCAGCTTGTTGTCCAGTACTTACCTGTTTGAATGTTGCACATGAGTTGCAGGGGGCTTTGTTTTTGGTGGGGACATTGTAGAATACTTTGTAGAGGCATAGACATGTGGCTTTTGAGTCTGTGAGTGAGTGGGGGGTTGTGGGTAATATGAACCAGGTGGTGCTGGGAGGGAAAGCAGGCATTGTAAAAAGCTCATTGGAGAGGACTTTAGTTCATTGGGGGGAACAGTGCATCGCTGTGTGAGTCACAGGAACAGGTTTCCCTCTCCTTAGTTACCTGCTGCTTTGTGTCTCTCGCTGGTTAAATGCAAATGTAAAGCTTAGTGGGTCATAGAATAATGTGGGTTGTAATAATTTACCTGACCTGACCTTTGGGCTGACGCTGTCAGGATTATTTGTCTTTACTGGTGACTTCAACAAAACTAATGGCCGTCATTGTAAATAAGAATTTGTTCTTAATTGACCTGCCTGGTAAAATCAAGTTAAAGTAAAATAATTACTCTGAAGCGTTTGGCTTTTACATGCAGATGTACTATGTTTACCTGTACCTACAATATCTAGGCCATTCAGGTATTGCACTCTGCTCTGAGTTCTGACGATAGAATAGAATGTCGAATTCACAATCACTCTCTTCTGAAATCAATATCAGATCAAACTTCAAATCAAACTTTATTCATATCTGTCACATTACAGTGCATGTACAAATTTGCTCCCCAGTCCCCACTGATTGGTCTGTCCCTGTCCCTCAGCACGATGCAGGACGACCTGCTGATCCTCCATGAGCAGGAGTATGACAGCCTGCTGGAGTGCACCTTTAAGACCGAGTTCATCAGCCTGCTGACCCGCAGGTTCGAGGAGAGGACCCAGAGGAAGCTGCCGCTCAAGTTTGGCACCACGTACGTACTGTAAACACAAACATGCCTTTAAACATACATTGTGATATATGGGTGGAGCGGAAGTAGACAACACTATGGTCAACATGCTTTACAATACTCTGGGGTTGTTCTGGAAATACTGCTTTTGATTTGGTAGAGAAATAACGGATGACATTTCTCTGGCAATTTCCAGTGGATGGTTTAAGTCAGTGGTTGTAAGGGAGATCTCTCTGCTCTGTCTCTCAGACTGGAGCTGAAGCTGAAGAAGGAGAACTGGGGTTTCCTGAGTGGAGGTGGCTCCAGACAGGTGATGTTTGTCCTGGGCCAGGGGGACGTGGCTGTCATGAAGCCCTCCAGTAAGGCGCTGCAGGTCAGCATTGGAGCTGGCCTGCCCAAGAACACACGTGAGTATTACAGGAGTAGTGTGTACCATCCCTCCGCATCAGGATTCAATAGACATGGGGTTTTCTAAGTGCTGTCTGAAACATGCTGTTTACTGACTTAGAGTCCCCTTTGTAGGTCCCACCAAGAAGAGCTTCACTCAGAGTCGCTCCAGCGTGTCCAGAACCCATCAGAACACTCCCACACGGGCTGCACCTGGGCCTCCAGGTAAAATAATCATTAGCTGATGTAGGCCTTATCACCCCTGTAAATAATTTACATTTTACATTTAAGTCATTTAGCAGACGCTCTTATCCAGAGCGACTTACAGTTAGTGAATACAATTATTATTATTTTTATTTTTTATACTGGCCCCCCGTGGGAATCGAACCCACAACCCTGGCGTTGCAAACGCCATGCTCTATCAACTGAGCTACATCCCTGCCGGCCATTCCCTCCCCTACCCTGGACGACGCTGGGCCAATTGTGCGCCGCCCATGAGTCTCCCGGTCGCGACAGAGCCTGGATTCGAACCAGGATCTCTAGTGGCACAGTTAGCACTGCGATGCAGTGCCTTAGACCACTGCGCCACTCAGGAGAAGCAGTTAGCAACAGTTAGCTGTTTCCACTTGATGTTGACAACCATCTTCCTCTTTGTCACAGTTGCCCATCAGAATGGTGGTCCAAAAAACGCCAACCACATGGCCAATCAGAGGAACGCCTCACAGCATTCCAATCAGAGGCCTCCGTCAACAGGCAATGGGTCCCGCCCCTTCCTTCCCAACAACGTCAATCTGAAGGAGAGGGGCAGCAGCAAGCCTAAGCCCAACCAGCCAAACCTGGACTGTCTGAAGGTTCCTGACCAGGGGGCGGCAGGGTGAGTACTGGCACCAATAGCCCTGATTACCTCCCAATACAGAGCCCTAAGGATTGATAACTACAATGACTTACTATACAGATACGTTTGCTCTTACATAAACATGTAAATACTGAGGATAAGTATGGTGTGTAACATGGTGTGTATGAGGATGTGTTTGTGTCAGTATGGTGCAGTGCTGTTTCAGTGTGTGAGCACACACACACACACACACAGTGTCCTGCTGTAACTTGGATGATGTATTCCTTTATAGTAACGGAGGAGCCCGGACAGCTTCGAATGGAGGAATGTGAGTCTGAGTGTTTGCGGTGTGTTGTGGTGATGGTTCAGGCCTTAGCCAAGCCAGGCGCAGCTCACTGGCATGATGTGTATATCTCTCCCTGGCTCTCCTGTAGCTAGATGCTCTCCTTCTTGCTTGTAGACATCTCTCTAACAGCTGATGTTGAATCAGAAGAAGGCAAAACCTATCATCTGATTGGATGAAACTACAGGAAAAAAGTCTGAGCCCAGTAACATGATGTCAATCATTCTGTTGTTGAAGAGTCCTTTTGCTCCAGAATTATACCTTCGAAGGCATGATATGGATTCCTGATATGGAATCTATTCTCATAAAATATCTATGATCCCACTGCTTGCAAATTACTGGGCTTAATTTTTTCTCCCAAAATTGGGTCTGGTGTCAATTAACACGGAAAACATCCATTGGGTACGTCTCAATTGTTTTGAGATATCCTGGATACAAATCTTGGGGAAGCAAGATATTACTTTTTCATTGGTGATTCCTTTGGTGTGATAGTTTGCTTATTGGTTGACTTCGTGAAGGGTTGTGTGTGCGTGTTTTTCATCTCTAGCCTTCTCAAGTTAATTCACTGAATTTACAAACAACTTTCCAGTGTTTTACACCCGATAATACCATATGGTGATTTCCAATGAGACTTACCCCTTAGCTCTAGTGTTATAGTGTTTCCACAATAACAAGTCTTTAGTGTGACACTAAAGACGTGGTGAGCATAATCAACCACCTCTGCATAATATCAAAACTGTTGCTTTGTGAGAAGGTGTTAAAGTTCACTGTTAGCCATTGTTATGTACTGTAAGTGCCAGCTGAAAAGTACCCAGGGCCTTGCCTTGGCTCCAAGTCAGAGCAGGTCCGCCGGAGCCATGGCCCAGTGAGACACGGGTGCCGGCCTGCGTAGATCGGAAACAGAAAAGTCTGAGCCTTCTGGGTAAAACACTGGGGTAAATCCTAAATGGACATGCACCAGTAGTGTTGGACATAGTTGTACTGAGACAAATCTAAGGGATGGCTCGCCATCTTGTGGTAGAACTGTGTATATCAAATTCAATTCAGTCAGGTGTCTTTGAAAGAAACAATGGAGTAAGCACATACCTATCCAATAATAACTACCACACAAACTCACATGGTATGTTATTTTATCCCAATATCGATACAGCTGTAGTCTAACTTCACATCCTTTGCTAAAGCCACACAATCACCAAAAGCTTTCCTAATGACTGACTGTAGTGTTCTAGCCGGCCAGTAGAATAGTTCCACACTAATGAAGGATAGGAGACTTTCTTTTCTTTGATGACTAAGGCTCACTCCTGTTGTCTGTGTCTTTATTCCTCAGTGTCCAAAGACAGTCTGTCAGTAGACCACCCCCAGGAGGGGGGCGACCCAAACCTGCCCCCAAACCCAAGCCCCAACCCAAGCCCCAGGTGCCTCAGTGCAAAGCCCTTTATGCCTATGATGCTCAGGACACAGACGAGCTCAGCTTCAATGCAGACGACGTCATCGACATCATCAAGGAAGGTAATACACAGGAGGCAGAAATCACACCATCATCGCACAGGGAAAATTATTGGATTTTGTTTGGTGTGGGGTGCACAAAACATTTGCACTTTAACGCTTTCACATTCTTGAAAATGTAACACTCTGGTCCCACTGTAAGCTAAGTCTTCTTCTTTCTTGATCAGACGCTTCTGGCTGGTGGATGGGGAGGCTACGGGCAAAGCAAGGCCTGTTCCCCAACAACTACGTCAGCAAGATCTAGGAGCTGCATGAAGAACACCTGACTGTCAATCACCAGGAGAGAAGTACACACCTCTACTGACTGAAGGGAGGAGATAGTGCTACCAAACAAAACAAAGAGATTTTGTGAGACAGAGAAGAGAGAAACTGACATTTTTTCTCCACTCCTGCATTGTAGCCTTCTTCTGGATGTAACTTCCTTTTATTCTGGTCAGACAAGAGGAGCGTCAGGCTTGCAATGAAGTTGTATTTTTATGGGGATCTGAGGTGTCCAGGGGCAAATCGCTACACAATCCCTGTGAGCACTGAACAAAACTATTTATTGTATTTATATAGCTTTTTATATTCTCCCTCTGTCTTTTTCACCTCGCTATGGTTTTAAGGTGATATTTTGTATGCATATAAATGATATATGCCTGATATGTGGAACCAGGTTGTAATTAAATGTTTCATATTTCTCATTTTGGAAATGAAAGGGTTTTAACATGAATTCGGGGTTGTTGCCAAGAAGCCACTGTCTCTCTGTTTTAGATCGTTTTAAATAGCCTGTAGAGTTGTTCAATATAGTTTTCAATGGGGATTTGTGCTGCTAAGCTGAATTTACAGATAGTATTGGCTTTATAAATCTTTATGTTGACACATAAAAATATTTACATAAAATAGACATTTAATAGTTCATTGCACTGTGATTTTATAAACCTTCGGCAATGCATTTCACTAGAAAAACAATGATTGAATGGGTTTGATAACCAAGTGTTCAAAACAATGCCAATTCTTATTGGTCAGCTAAACAGATGCAATCACTTTTGGGAAAAGGAAATGCACAGTGTGACTTTCAATAGGTAAATGTCTTCAGGAATCCCCCCCCCCCCTCTTTTTTTTCCAAAATGCGAGTGATATCCCCAGAACTCTAGGGCCACACAGTGTACTGTACTCTGAGTGTATTGTCTGTGGTTTTATAAGCACTTTATCAGTAGCTAAAGGTACTAACTTGGACAGACTGGTCACTCCTGCCACAGCTAGTAATCCTTGGATGTAATGAAAGATTGCCAAACTAGTGATGGGCCTAGTTACTGAAGAGGATAATTTGTTTACATAGAATTATAATACAGCCATTTTAGATCTATGTATACTGTATGTACATCTCGACATTTTAGAATTAAGACTGTTACAATTTAGTAGTGTATTTTCTCTGCAGGATTTAATTTGTATTCAAAATGTTCTGTTTTTGATCATTTTTTCTATTCCATTTTATGCAGATTTAAGTGCACAGTATGGGTCATTAGACTATGGCGTTTTAGTTATTTCAGGTGAAAGTAAAGGAAGAATTCCATTGACTTCACACTTTTGGCACTATGAAGGATCTTTTTCATGTTCTCGCTGGTTTCCATAAGTTTTTGCATTCACACATTCCTTTGCATTTTCCATTTACCAGTTTTGTATCAACTACTTTTTATACATTATCTTCAAATCATTAAGGGCTGGATTCAATCCATATCGAAGTATCGTGGAAGATCCGCATTAAAATAAAGGTAATTTCCGATTGAGTCGACAAAGCGTTTACCGTGAATATGGTCTCATTGCCTTTAATTGATATATAGCAGATCTTCAGCGCTATGGATTGAATAGAGCCCTAAAACAGCTGGGATTTCTTTCACAGGCTTGAACTGTGGCATAGTTAATTGTTTGGTCCTGTATGGTGTAAAAGACATGTGCAATATCAAAAGTGGCAGGAGTCTTAAAGCATGTACTATGTAGTTCTCCTGTGCATTGTATTTCATGAAATTAAAGACATGTTAGTGATTTTCGCATAAATGCACAAAACTGGCCTCTTTCTCCTGTTCTGCTTATGCCCTAGCTGGTCAGGAAATACTCCTGTCCCTACTAGTTATCCATAGCCTGGTTCCAGTTGGTCATAGGCAAGACCGTCTAATGACCATACAACATCCCAGGGCAGCTTGATATAAAAAGGTGCAGCCGTTTCAGTGTTCAGGAACACTGGGCTGTAAATCCTACAGTATGATCAATTAACAAGCTGATTATACTGTACTTAATTTAGCTGAGTAGAGGTCAAGTTATGAAATGTATTGTGCCTTAAAGAATAAAAATGGCTGGCCCATACGGTTACTGCAGCACAAGCAGAACTATTAGTGGTGTATGAAAAGCATTCTACTTCTGTTTAGGTTTGTGGAATAAGACTTAGTACTTTGACTACAGGTGGCGTTTTCACCCTTCTATATTCCATTAGGAAAAATAAAATTGAAACAACCAGGCTGTGTGGCTTCTTTGGATTTTGATGACTGCAACATCCAGACTAAAATGTAGCAAATAATTGATACACAGCCATGTTTTAAAGCATAAACCCAAAACATAGAGTATAATTTTGTAAAGACCATATTTAAAATGGTTCAAAACTGCGTTTATTTGTACAAAGCAAAATATTTACATGTACTAAAAAGCAGCAGGCCAAAAAGGCCATCTCATGACAGATTTTCTTAAAGACAAAGAAAATAACGTTTTAAAAAAATAAAGTGCAGCAGATTAAAATTCAGTCCGTATTCACAACATATGAGATCAAGGTTTAGGTCCCGGGAGCAGAGCGGCAGCCATGCCATCTACAACAGCAGACTTCAGCTGAGGGATGAGACTGATCCGCATTAGTCTGCTGCTTGCATACTTGTTCTTGACAGCCTGGAACAAAGTTAATCAATGTTACTGGTTCTTTCCAAGATCTGACATTTAACCCAAAGCCAATGGTACAAGATTAGATCACTACAGCAAGGTCAAGCTATCAGAGGACAAATTACCTGAAGCTTTGTTCGCCCTTCATTGACAGAGACAACATTTTTGGCAATGTGCTGCATGATTGGCTTGAGGTGGTTCTCATCATAGGTAGAGTAATGCTGCTGTGTTGGAGTCTGCACAGGGAGTGGAAACAATTGTAAAAACATTGACCATATGTTGCTAGCGCCAAAACAGTTTGACAAACTAGGTTGAATTTTGTAATTTCTTTCTGATACACTTTGAGTGGACATATCCCATACACATCCCAATAATTGCCAAGAGACAGCAGCTTACCCAGTTGAGCTCATCAATCAGCAGCTGGGAGAGGCACAAGGCAGCAGCAGCAATCTCAGAAGGGTGGTAGTGCACCATGTCATAGTCAAGGAGGGTCAGTTCCATGAGGTACTTGGCTAGGGTGTGCTTCTCAACATCAGCCTGAAAATACAACCACTGGTTGAGTCACTGCATGCAAGTAACACTGTAACCTTCTGGTAACCCATCAGTTGTTGATGGCTTTTCCATCTAACAATTTAATAATTGCAGTTCATGTTGATGGGTCAATTTGAATAACTACAATAGTATGAAAACGTGCATGTCATTGAGTAACCTACATTGCCAGCCTTGGAGGCTCTCCTGAGAAAGTGTAGGGGTAGAGGCCGTCCAAGCTCAAAGTTCAGACTCTGCAGAATCAGCTGCTCCATCTCCCGAATATGGGCCTTGGTGAATGTATTGTCTGTGATGTAAACGAAATCACAAATCTCCGGGGAATACATCTCTTCGTACTTGGACGCTACCAACATGGCAGTCACCCCAACCAGCTGGAGCTTCTTGCGGCCGATAGGTTGCACCTAGATAGTAGAAAGGGGCAAAAAAAATATATATACAAACACACTACCGTTCAAAAGTTTGGGGTCAATTAGAAATTCTTGTTTTTGAAAAGCAATTTTTGTCCATTCAAATAGATCAGAAATACATTGTTAATGTTGTAAATGGCTATTGTAGCTGGAAACGGCTGATTTTTAAATGGAATATCTACATAGGCGTACAGAGGCCCATTATCAGCAACCATCAGTCCTGTGTTCCAATGGCACATTGTGTTTGCTAATCCAAGTTTATCATTTAAAAAAAGGCTACTTGATCATTAGAAAACCCTTTTGCAATTAGGTTAGGACAGCTGAAAACTGTTGTGCTGATTAAAGCAGCAATAAAAAATTTATGAAAAAACTGGCCTTCTTGAGACAAGTTGAGTATCTGGAGCATCAACAATTGTGGGTTCGATTACATGATCAAAATGGCTAGAAACTAATAACTTTCTTCTGAAACTCGTCAGTCTATTCTTGTTCTGAGAAATTAAAGCTATTCCATGCGAGAAACTGCCAAGAAACTGAAGATCTTGTACAACGCTGTGTACTACTCCCGTCACAGAACAGCGTAAACTGGCTGAAGGTAGGAAACAACATCTCCACTTCTCTGACCCTCAACACTGGGACTCCACAAGGGTGCGTGCTCAGCCCCCTCCTGTCCTCCCATGACTGCGTGGCCATGCACACCTCCAAATCAATCAAGTTTGCAGACGACACAACAGTAGTAGGCTTGATTACCAACAATGACGAGACTGCCTACAGGGAGGAGGTGATAAACTCTCACTCAACATTAACAAAACAGATTATTGTGGACTTCAGGAAACAGCAGAGGTGCATCCCCCTATCCACATCGACGGGACCACAGTGGAGAAGGTGGAAAGCTTCAAGTTCCTTGGTGTACACATCACCGTCAAACTGAAGTGGTCCACCCACGCAGACAGTGGCGAAGCAGGCGCAACAGAGCCTCTTCAACCTCAGGAGGCTGAAGAAATTTGGCCTAGCACCTAAAACCCTCAAACCTTTACAGATGCACAATTGAGAGCATCCTTTCAGGCTGTATCGCCGCCTGCACCCCCCGCAACCGCAGGGCTCTCCAGAGGGTGGTGCGGTCTGCCGAACGCATTACCGGGGGCAAACTACCCGCCATCTAAGACAAATACAGCACCCAATGTCACAGGAAGGCCAAAAAGATCAACCACCCGAGCCACTGCCTGTTCACCCAGCTATCATCCAGAAGGCGAGGTCAGTACAGGTGCATTAAAGCTGGGACTGAGAATCAAAAACAGCTTCTATCTCAAGGCCATCAGACTGTTAAATAGCCATCACTAGCACATTAGAGGCTGCTGCCTATTTAAAATCACTGGCCACTAAGAAATAGAACACTAGTCACTTTAATTATGTTTACATATCTTGCACTACTCATCTCATGTATATACTGTATTCTATAATATTATACTGCATCTTAGTCCATGCCGCTCCATCATTGCTTGTCCATATATATTCTTAAATCCCATTCCTTACTAGTTGTGTGTGGATTGGGTATATGTTGAGAAATTGTTAGATATTACTGCACTGTCAGAGCTAGAAGCACAAGCATTTTGCTACACTCGCTATAACATCTGCTAAACACGTATGTGACAAATAAAATTGTATTTCTAAGTGACCCCAATCTTTTGAACGGTAATAAATATAAAATTTCACGAGGCTTACCTGAAGAAAGCGATCCAGGATGGCCACAGTCAGATACAGAGTCTCCTGCAGTAGCTGGAACCTGGAGTGCACCTGAATCAGCCAGTCAATCAGGAGAGCACGCATGCGTTCATTGATCTCATAGCCCTCCATGTACTTGGGCCGGACAGACTGCTGGGTCTGTTGAGAAAGGAAGACATTTCAAGATTCATGTAGAGTGAGTCCCATTACAAAATATTTAACTCGTCAGCACCATGTTAGCATAGAGAGAAAGCACAAGTAACCTCAAGGCGCAGCAGATATCCATAGATATCCTTTATATATTCAGAGCACAGTTGTGGCATGTCTGAATCCCCTTCGTCAATGTCTTCTACAGCAAGCAGAGCTTCTGAGAACGCATGGCACAATTCCTCTTCTTTCATGGACACGTTAGCAGACTCTTCAGGCTGAGGAACTTGAGGCACTGGGGAACGTTTAGGGCGAACAGCTGCTGGCTGGCCTTTTTGGTTCATAGATTGTTTGGTTGAAGCCTTGGCATGAACAGTCTTCTGTAGAGAGTATAGAGAAACATGTTTGAGAAAGATCTGGATGAGTAGTTAGTGAAATCACAGACAATGGACCAAACAATGCCGTGCAAGACAACATACCTTGGACGGCACGGCTTTGCTGGCATTGGGAAAGTTGGACAGCTCTCCAAGTACAGCCCTTCTTACGCCAGTTACGTTTGCTTTTCCCATTAGTGCTGGGTTCTCTGCGTTCCTTAACTGTTGAAGACAAAATTAGCCTTCAACAAACCAACCATTTGAAAAAAAAAAAAAATAGCTAATTAAGTTAGTCGGCAGTTTCTTTGCTATGTTAGCTGGGTAGATAGCAAGCAATGGCTAACGTCAGCTAATGACAAAAGGTTCAATTTAGCCATGCGAAATTACATTAGGTAGCTAACGTTAAGTATACGCCGGTTAAGTAACTTTATTTTAGGCAAAGCACATGCTCGTTTGCCAGTGTTTTATTTTCTAGTTGCTTACCTACAAGCTAGTAAATTGGCTAGGTAACTAAAGAAAGCAAGGTGAAAGCAGACAGCTAGGGAAGCTAACTAGCTCCGGTAACGTTAGCTGTGTGAGTAACATGCACACAAAAAACACATTAGCTAGTCAATATTGTAAAAACTCACCGCAGCACGAACTTCTAATGCCATCTTCAAGCTTTGTTAAAAACAAGGCAGCTAAATAGCCAGCTATAATCGGCAAAATGCCGCTTTTAGATGCGTTGTTTGCTCGCTAACTTCACAGACATAAGGCCCAAGTAAACAAACTTCCAAGGACAATTCCGCAGTCATTCAAATACCGCTCTGTTGATTCTAATTGGATACCACTTCATAGAATGCACCTCTTTCATTGGTTGCCAAAGAGGAATCACGAATGACGTCGCACAGTCACAATCAGAATGGATCTCTATGATAAGAACCCCAATCAAAGGGGTTTCCACTAGTTACCACAGCCACAAGGTCAGAATTGGCTATACGGCAAAAATTAATGAATACAAAAATTTGATTTTTGGTGTTAATTTAAGGTTAGGGTTAGGCATACGGTTAGGAGTGTGGTTAAAGTTAGGGTTAAGGTTATGTTTCAAATTATATTTTAAGCAGTGGTGTAAAGTACTTAAGTAAAAATACTTTAAAGTACTACTTAAGTAGTTTGTTGGGGTATCTGTACTTTTCTTTACTTTTTATATTTTTGCCAACTTTTACTTTTACTTCACTAGATACCTAAAGAAATGTGGTACTTTTTACTCCATACATTTTCCCTGAGACCCAAAAGTACTCATTACATTTTGATAGGAAAATGGTCCAATTCACACACTTATCAAGAGAACATTCCTGGTCATCCCTACTGCCTCTGATCTGGTGGACTCACTAAACACAAATGCTTCATTTGTAAATTATGTCTGAGTGTTGGAGTTTGCCCCTGGCTATCAATCAATTTAAAAAAAAACAAGAAAATTGTGCCGTCTGGTTTGCTTAATATAAGGAATTTGAAATGATTTATACTTTTACTTTTAGTTTTGATACTTAAGCATATTTAAAACCAAATACTTTTATACTTTTGCTCAAGTATTATTTTACTGGGTGACTTTCACTTGAGTCATTTTCTATTAAGGTATCTTTACTTTTACTCAAGTATGACAATTGAGTACTTTTTCCACCACTGATTTTAAGAAGATAAATGGTAGAAATAGGTGGGTTTTATGACTTTGTGGCTAGTGAGGACCCAATCAAAGAGATATTTACACTCCTCATCCAAAAACAACACATTCCTTTTAAATTACAAAAAGCAATGCATATTGACATTTGAAGAAAATAGAGAAAAGAGTTGCATTAATGTTTGCAACACACACCATACCATTTACACAACCTTAGGCCCCATGTCTGCAGCATGGATTTACTGCTCCACAGAGGCCACATCTCAATATTGCTGATAAATCCACTTGGCCAAAATAACATATATTTTATGAATTTACCAAAATGCTAATCTTGGCTACTCTAATTAAGAAACACTATACATGGTCTTCACTGATTGATGAGTAGTAATAAGTAAGGGGAATATTCAAAAATCTACATAGAACGCATAAAAGAAAATGTATATTCTTTCTGCAGGCTCTTTGGATACTTGGATGGATACTTCAGTTAATCTTAACTTGATGCTTCGCCATTAGGCCTACATATTATAAACAGTTTGTACACATTTTACTGTCATGACACAAACCATTTTTTTTTGGGGGGGGGGGGGGGGGTGAGCTGAATAGGCATTTTTACTACTGCTATATCACATCTACAGTGCCTTCAGAAAGTATTCATACCCCTTGACTTATTCCACATTTTGTTGTGTTACAGCCTGAATTCCAAATGGATTAAGTAGATTGTTTTTCTCTCACCCATCTAGTGAAAACATATTTTTAGAATTTTTTGCTAGTTTACTGAAAATGAAATACATAAATATCTAATTTATATAACTATTCACACCCTGTCAATACGTTACAGTCACCTTTGGCAGCCTTTAAGGCAGCAATTACGGAGTCTTTCTGGGTAAGTCTCTAAGAGCTTTGCACAACTGGAGTGTACAATATTTGCCCATTGTTATTTTCTGAATTCTTCAAACTGTCATATTGGTTGTTGATCAATGCTAAACAACCATTTTCAAGTCTTGCCATAGATTTTCAAGCAGATTTAAGTCAAAACTGTGACTCGCCCACTCAGGAACATTTACTGTCTTCTTTGTAAGCAACTGTGTTTTAGGTTATTGTCCTGCTGAAAGGTGAATTAATCTCCCAGTGTCTGGTGGAAAGGAGACTTAACCAGGTTTTCCTGTAGTATTTTGCCTGTGCTTAGCTCCATTCCGTTTATTTTTTATCCTGAAAAACTCCACAGTCCTTAACGATTACAAGCATACCCATAACATGATGCAGCCGCCACCATGCTTGAAAATATGGAGAGTGGTACTCAGTAATGTGTTGTATTGGATTTGCCCCAAACATAACACTTTGTATTCAGGACATAAAGTGAATTGCTTTGTCACATCTTTTGCAGTATTACTTTAGTGCCTTGCTGCAAACAGGATACATGTTTTGGAATATTTGTATTCTGTACAGGCTTCCTTCTTTTCACTCTGCCAATTAGGTTAGTATTGTGGAGTAACTACATTGTTGATCCATCCTCAGTTTTCTCCTATCACAGCCATTAAACTCTGTAACTGTTTTAAAGTCACCATTGGCCTCATGGTGAAATTCCTGAGCGGTTTCCTTCCTCTCCAGCAACTGAGTTAGGAAGGACGCCTGTATCTTTGTAGTGACTGGGTGTATTGATACACCATCCAAAGTGTAATTAATATCTTCACCATGCTCAAAGGGATATTCAATGTCTGCTCTTTTTATTTTACCCATCTACCAATAGGTGCCCTTCTTAGCAAGGCATTGGAAAACCTTCCTGGTCTTTGTGGTTGAATTTGTGTTTGAAATCCACTGCTCGACTGAGGGACCTTACAGATAATTGTATGTGTGGGGTACAGAGATGAGGTAGTCATTCAAAAATCATATTAAACACTATTATTGCACACAGAGTCCATGCAACTTATGTGACTTAAGTACATTTTTACTCCTGAACTTTAGGCTTGCCATAACAAAAGGGTTGAATACTTATTGACTCAAGACATTTCAGCTTTTCATTTTTAATTAAATTGTAAAAATGTAAATAAATGTAATTCCACTTTGATATTATGGGGTATTGTGTGTAGGCCAGTGACAAAAAAAATCTAAATGTAATCCATTTTAAATTCAGGCTGTAACAACAAAATTAGGAAAAAGTCTAGGGGTGTGAATATCAAGTGTTACCAATATTTTTTGTCAGTAGTAGATACAGTGAGGGAAAAAAGTATTTAATCCCCTGCTGATTTTGTACGTTTGCCCACTGACAAAGACATGATCAGTCTATAATTTTAATGGTAGGTTTATTTGAACAGTGAGAGACAGAATAACAACAACAAAATTCCAGAAAAACGCATGTCAAAAATGTTATAAATTGATTTGCATTTTAATGAGGGAAATAAGTATTGACCCCTCTGCAAAACATGACTTAGTACTTGGTGGCAAAACCCTTGTTGGCAATCACAGAGGTCAGACGTTTCTTGTAGTTGGCCACCAGGTTTGCACACATCTCAGGAGGGATTTGGTCCCACTCCTCTTTGCAGATCTTCTCCAAGTCATTAAGGTTTCGAGGCTGACATTTGGCAACTCGAACCTTCAGCTCCCTCCACAGATTTTCTATGGGATTAAGGTCTGGAGACTGGCTAGGCCACTCCAGGACCTTAATGTGCTTCTTATTGAGCCACTCCTTTGTTACTTGGCCATGTGTTTTGGGTCATTGTCATGCTGGAATACCCATCCACAACCCATTTTCAATGCCCTGGCTGAGGGAAGGAGGTTCTTACCCAAGATTTGATGGTACATGGCCCCGTCCATCGTCCCTTTGATGCAGTGAAGTTGTCCTGTCCCCTTAGCAGAACCCCCCCCCCCCCCCAAAGCATAATGTTTCCACCTCCATGTTTGACGGTGGGGATGGTGTTCTTGGGGTCATAGGCAGTATTCCTCCTCCTCCAAACATGGCGAGTTGAGTTGATGCCAAAGAGCTCGAATTTGGTCTCATCTGACCACAACACATTCACCCAGTTCTCCTCTGAATCATTCAGATGTTAATTGGCAACCTTCAGACGGGCCTGTATATGTGCTTTCTTGAGCAGGGGGACCTTGCGGGCACTGCAGGATTTCAGTCCTTCACGGCGTAGTGTGTTACCAATTGTTTTCTTGGTGACTATGGTCCCAGCTGCCTAGAAATCATTGACAAGATCCTCCCGTGTAGTTCTGGGCTGATTCCTCACCGTTCTCATGATCATTGCAACTCCACAAGGTGAGATCTTGCATGGAGCCCCAGGCCGAGGGAGATTGACAGTTCTTTCGTGTTTCTTCCATTTGCGAATAATCGCACCAACTGTTGTCACCTTCTCACCAAGCTGCTTGGCGATGGTCTTGTAGCCCATTCCAGCCTTGTGTAGGTCTACAATCTTGTGCCTGACATCATTGGAGAGCTCTTTGGTCTTGGCCATGGTGGAGAGTTTGGAATCTGATTGATTGATTGCTTCTGTGGACAGGTGTCTTTTATACAGGTAACAAACTGAGATTAGGAGCACTCCCTTTAAGAGTGTGCTCCTAATCTCAGCTCGTTACCTGTATAAAAGACACCTGGGAGCCAGTACTCTTTCTGATTGAGAGGGGGTCAAATACTTATTTCCCTCATTAAAATGCAAATCAATTTATAACATTTTTGACATGCGTTTTTCTGGAATTTTGTTGTTGTTATTCTGTCTCTCACTGTTCAAATAAACCTACCATTAACATTATAGACTGATAATTTCTTTGTCAGTGGGCAAACGTACAAAATCAGCAGGGGATCAAATACTTTTTTCCCTCACTGTACCTCTGAACGTGCGGTTGTGAAATATGGACCAACATGCATAAGTGAATGGTAAGAGGACACAAATAAACAGACACAGGAAAGAGTAGTCTAACTTTATTAATATTATTTTAAAACTAATATAAATCCCATGGAATATCATCCTGGTGCCATTAAGTCTATGAATGCATGGATACCTGCCATAAGTACTGCATTCCAACACTCCATTCAAAATTATTTATTTTTTCCAAAATTCAGCAATCAGAGTGGAAATACATGGCCTCAGCACACTCTCTTTACAACACTCCTGTCTTTTCTCTCCTGTGCAAGTATATGCAAGTTAGCTAGGCGAGAATAATATTAGTGTTATCTTTTCAATGGCAGCAAAGAGGGATTGCTGCTGCACAGCTACAGAAAGAGAAAGAGAGAGAGAGAGAGTGGGTAAGAACAATGATCTGGGTTGTAAGAATAATCAGTTACTTTTTTATTATTCTGAGCTGAGCGCTGTGTATTTCCCTCTGAAGAAAAACAGGGATAAACAAAAAGCAAGGATAAACCAATGCCATTCCCAGCTTCCAAACAACAGATTTCCCCAGGTTGCAGGCTCATGTGAAACTGGTTGCATCTGTGGGCCTGAGATCCCCTTATAGAACCCAGTTTACCATCTGGGGCCTGTCTGAGGGAGAAATCCAAACAGAACACAGAGACTGTATCCTCAGCAGACCTCAACAATCACTCCAATGAAAAAGAACAGCCAAGAGACAAATGTGACATTCATTTTCATTTTCTCTAAATACATTAGATGACGTGTGAATGGTGTTTAGTCAAATCAAGGTGGTGCAGGGGAGGTGTAAGATGGCAGACACGCATCTGTATTTTCTGGGAGGTGAGGTGCAGTTTGAGTTTATTCCCAATCTAGAAATACTGGGTGAACACGAATACAGCAGCTGATCTGTTTAACATGATATTTTACTAATTAAGGAATGTCTTGATTTACCTTCTTAGAAACTAAACGTCTTCCACTAGCAAACCACATTGTCTAAACATAAACTAATCAATACAATGATCGGTAAAATGAGTCCTGCAATGTTTTTAAATGGAGGTTGACATTCTATTCCAGTAAAGCAAGGCATTAGGTATATAGAAATGCTTCTTTACTAGAGCAGCTATCCTCACCTGCAAGTTGTTAGGCCATGAGAAGCCCACAATATATGTGCAAAGAAATGCATTGCGAGGAGCCATGCAAAAAAAAAAAAAAAGTATGACACAAGGAAACAATCAAAAGCTACATAAAAGCTTTATAAATACAATAACATTTTAAATCCTTAATGGAGATGTCAATTCTAGAAGTATTGTACTATGTGATAGCTGGCACTCTAGGCTCAATGTTTTTTTAGCCTGATGTTTTTTTTTCTCATAGTGGATCTGCGCAGGTAATTCATGCCCTCTTTGGTTGACTGCAGTACTGAAGAAAACTTAAAACAATAAACAACAATGAAAGAAAATTCCAACAAAGGGTTGTTAGAAAAACAGCATCAACTCTCAACGGCAGACAACTGCGCCTCGATGTCCACTCTGCAGATGGGGCACTTCTTATTGGTGAGGAGCCATTGGTCCACACACAGTTGATGGAAGAGATGCATACAAGGTAGACGTCTGTGGAAGAGAGAATATATTGTTAGACACTTTGAATTCCATCTTCGAATAATGAAAAAAGATCCCGTATGGAATGAAATGACAATGAATAAAATGATTTCAATTTGGTTTGTTGAAAGATGGAAAATTAACATTCACACATTACAGTTCTCACATTACACCAACAGAAGGGCAGAAACTCTAAAACTCACTTGATCACATGAGCACATATGCTGAGCTCCAGAAACGTCCTCTGAGACCAGTCGTTTTCAGGCACTCAGAGGATTGGCTTTTCTACTGATTACTATACTTTTGGGTGTTGAGAAAATCGCTACGGCATATCAACAGAAAATGTGGGAAAGGAGCGGTCGTTCTCACACAAAAACAGCCCCACATTAAAACACACTTGCACGCCACAGTATAACTGTACCTGACGTCCTCCCCTTCCTCCAGTATTGACAGACAGATGGTGCATTTCTCCTCTGTGTCTTCGTCCGCCCCCTCATCTTCATCTTGCTTACCATGCAGCTTTCTCTGTTCATGGAAACATTGGAAAACACCATTATAGATACACCGCACCAAAAACAACGTTTGCACAAAGACAACTCTTATTCACATTATAAAATATGTATTACAAACACGGAAGGCTGAGTCCATTTTATGGGGGTTACTGTCAAACACAAGAAATGTATTCAGTGTTCACAGGGTGTTAACATTACAGGTACAGACCAACTTGTGAATAAACTATCCTTTATGACTGCTAGAGGGCTTACTGTATACAGTACAAGCATTATGAGGGTTAACACATATCCCTATGAGGACAGAGAGAATGGTCATTTTGTCCTGGCTACAAAACATGTCATCCCTATGGATCAAGGTAATATGGATTTGAAAAAATATATTTAAATCAATATTGCTAAAAATCTAGCAAATGTTTCTACTGCCGAATCCCCTTGCCCCCAACACGACTACCGTTAACAACTATAAATGAGCAGAGACACGTTTCCAAATTGAATTAGTTCATTTTTTTCTCACCGAGTCTGAGGTTGCGTGCATATTTTTCCCAATAGTTGCCCATGCTTCAGGGGTTAACTGTTCGTCAATGTCTCTCTCAGTCTCCAACACCTTCTGTATTGGGCAGCAGGTTATTAGGTTACTTATTTAAATACATTTGGAAAACTAGATGGAATCTTTCCCTACAATGTTTTCTAAGGCTGCAACTTTTGGTTGAAAGGGACACTTTCCAGTTTCTACAGCATCTGGCTTAAGGATAGCAATACATTCATATTTTGAAAGGAGCACAAAATAACCACTGTGAATGTGCACTCTGTCCCAGAATAAGATCTTGCGCAGACATGCACAAAATACATCACAGCAAACTACATTAAATAGGATATGTTCTGAAACACACACACACACGTTTATAGGAGTGCTCTCACCTTTTTGTACTTGTGTGGGTAAGTGCACCTCTCTATGGTTCCCTGAGAGGCCCCTCGGTTCACAGTCCCCAATCTCTCCTCTAAATGCAGCAGATCCTGAGGAAATAGGGAAGGTAAACAAACCCAACATGAGAGACTGAGCTAACTCACTTACACACAGCTCATAAGCCACAGCCATAAGATGCTCTTAGCTCCATCATAACTAATTACCAGGGCCAGGAGTGTTTCCTCACCACATGACCCGAGCAGGAAAAACTCCTGGCCCTAGTTACTATCTCTTTACCAGTCAAGTGTTACCTCATAAGTTCGTCCAAATCCAGTCATTCTGGATGAGATGTAGCGAATGTGCGGGTAGGTTACTTCAGACATGCCAGTGTGCTGTGAGGGAGGAGGCAAAACAATTCCATTCAAATATGTTCACTTCTGTGGAGTACAGTCATTTGTTTCTGTGAGCTACAGTTCATGAAGCACATATAGGGATATAGCATGATCAATTAAGTCTGCTGACACTGCTTGACTTGGGTATAAATTCTGGCTAGCATTGCCGAAAACTGCATTTTTGATAACCACAGAAGTCTCACAACTTCATATTTTCTGACATTGTGCATGAACTTTTAACATCTTTTCAAAGGGGCTTCTATTGATTTCAGGCCGCTGGTTATGTTGAATATGCACTTGAAATGCCTTATTGCCAATGCATTATTCATGTGGCCCAACAAACCATCCTTGAAATAACAGATGTTATAAATAGAGGGCTACCATCATTAAATCTACACCATGCTTCAAATAAAAGCATTTATTTCTCATTTATGCTAATGTGGAACGTGTGCTTAGAGTGAGGGTGCCAGTCGTGCACTCACCATGAAGGGGATAGGGAAGTGGTGCAGTCTTGGCGGAGGGTGGTAGTGGGGCAGGTGAGGGTGCAGGTGTCCTGAAGGATACGGCGCCACGGTCACTCCAGCCTCGATACCCAGCTCCCTACAGAAGAGAACCAGACCAACACAACAGTCATCATCAACTCATAGACATTGACATCACAGGTGCCATTTCAACAGGTCCTCTGTAGCTCAGCTGGTAGAGCACGGCGCTTGTAACGCCAAGGTAGTGGGTTCGATCCCCGGGACCACCCATACACAAAAAAAATGTATGCACGCATGACTGTAAGTCGCTTTGGATAAAAGCGTCTGCTAAATGGCATATTATTATTATTATAACAGTGAAGATGAGGGCATACATGACTGACTATATCCATAGTGCACAGCAGACCACATATACGTCAGTTCATAAACTCCTGGCTCTCCACTGCTGTAAATGGTACTGACCATGCAGTCCTCTGCTCAGGTTGGCGTGGGTGGGACGACATGGTCTGGGGCACGTGGATGTGGTGGCCATGGCCGTAGTTGGGGTGCATTCTGTGGGGGTGTGGAGGGGGGCGCTCATGTGCTCGTCTGGAGAAAGGAGGAGAAAGCGAGAGAGAGAGGTTTATCAGAAACACTAGAGGGAAAATACTATAATATTGTCCCTGTAATCAGACAATTGGATGCTACAGTTGTGTTGCTGCCAGGACAGGGGACAGAGGCTACACTCACGTGGGGTGCTGCATCATCCTGCGTCTCTGGACCTCCATCCTCTGCAGCATCTCGTGCTGGTGCAGCCTCTGCACAGAGGTCCCCAGGGCGGGCATGTGGTGCTGCAGGGCCTGGTGCTCCGCGGGCAGGTGTTGGGGGGCACTGGAACCTGGGAGGTGGTGGGGCAGAGGGGCAGGAGGGGGCGGGGGCACGGCGTGGCCAGGGGGGAGGGAAGGCAGGGGCGTGTGGAAGGGATGGACGGTGTGGGGGTTGACGTAGTCAACCTGTGGAGTGGGCTGAGGAGGGGGAGGAGGGTTACCATGGGAATGGGGGCAGGTGTTAGAGGGCTGGTGGTGCAGGGAGCGTGCCAGGGGGGCGTCTGGGTATCAGAGAGACAGCGAGAGAGTGTGGTGGGAGAGAGTTGAGAAGTAGTTAGTAACGCCTTACCAGATCCCCTTTAAGTCCCCTTCCTAATGAGGACACCTGATCATCATCAGTTATGACTCTCCTCACTGAAACATGCTGCCTGGCTGGCTGTTCCCTGTGCTGAGCAGGTCTCCCAACTGAGACCCCAGACAGACCCAGCCTCTGTCTGTCTGTCTGTCTCCCTACTGCAGAGAGAAGGGGTCCGGAGCATTGCTGACTGTCTGACGTGACTGAGTGTAGGCACTAGACCGGTGCGCCAAACAGCTCCAATTATCCCTCTAAATATGGCCCCACCAGGGAGCCCCGCCACACTCATTCTCATTCCACACAGAGCTATTCTGAGGAGAATCAGCAATTAACAGGGCCTGTTTGGTAGCACACCCGCAGCACTTAGCACATTAAACATCAGGTGTTTCTCTTAATTACTATTAGCACTGGGTTTCAAGACTGCCGTTGTCGGCATAATCATTCAAGCATTGGTGGTAAGTTACTGTATATAGCCTAAAGGATCACGTGTTTAGTTGAGTGGTATGCAGGTTCTGCATGGGAATAATACACTATAGTTACTACTGCAGCATTTCATTTTCCTATCAAATCAACACTTAAACAAAAGAAACCACACAAAAATCTAACCACAAAATAACTTCATCTACCAAAATAAAAGGCCATCTCCCTTTTGGTGCAGAGGTATCTCTACTCACAGGAGGGGTGCATGAAGTGCCTGCAGGTGGATAGCTGTGGCTGTGGCTGAGGCTGGGCCACCATGGCTGAGCTGAAGGAGTCCACCACTGCGCTTGACTGGCTGGGCCCTGGCCCCGTTGCATTCTGGGAGTTGTAGGCTGCAGGCCGCGACGTGGAGCCTGGGCAGCACGGGTCAAAGGCTGAGGTACCATGGAAACTACCGGCCCCCGCTGCTCCGCAAGCCACTGTTGCTCAGGTCCACCGGCAGAGTCTGCTTAGGAGGGGAGAGACAGAGATAGGAGGGTTAGAGAGGAGAGGAGGGGAATGAAAAGGAAAGAATAAGGGAGAGATGTATGGAGAGAGTAGAACCAGACTATGATGTTATGGTGCTACTGTCGGACTTTGATCTCTGTAGTGACAGAATATAGAAATAACCAGTAAAACACTCAACTAAAACCACAGGGCTTCATGGTCCAGCCAGCACAAAGCACAAGATAAAAGTACAAGACAATGGGCTACACAGTTTAGACTGCAGTAAACCGGCGGAGAAAATTCAATCTAAGTGATGGAGTTTCAAATCATAGCAGCAGCCCTCCCTCGTTGAATTATAAAAATAAATTATAATATTTAGACTGATGAATAAAACAGGACTTATTCACCTTATTCAGGCAGTATGTCTCCTTTCTCTGAGCTGTCGCTGAGGGCAGTATCTACATGTAGGCCAATCATCAAAGGGCACAGCATTTTGCCTAAACCATGCAACATGTTAACTACTTCCTCATTTTCATGGTAGAGACCTGATGGCCCAGTTTTGAATACTTGCCCCAGCCCTGCATGAATTACGTAGGAATCAGAGCATCCAGACAAAGAGACGGAGGTCTAGGGAGCCCCTAACCTGACCTGCAGACACAGCACTCTCAACCTCAACCCAACTACACTCATTACACTTTAACCACACACTGCTCCACTTTGATGGTAAATAATACAATTCAGCAGCTCCCAACAATTAGCAGAATTTGAATTATTCAGTGGTGAATCTGACTTCAAGGGAGGCTGCCAGCTAGATCCTTTGTAACGTTTTTGTTAAGATACCAGTTATTTGTCTGTATCAGTTCCTATTCTGTTTTTTCCTTCTTAATCCTTCTTAATCACCTTGAATCTGAGTCATTGGCTGGTGCAGATATTGATGGAGCCTTTTGTTAAGATACACAAAGATTTAGTCAAAGACACATTTGAATGCGATGGTGCCATCTGCCATGGAGAACATGGCTTGCATAGTTAACTAAAACTATAAATTATTTCTAATTTATCACCAGCTATTGTGGGAGGAAAAGGTAGCCTTATGTCTCCCCAGACTCTATTCAGTTAGCCTACTTTTATAGATTTTGGGTAGAAAAAGAAAATGATCAAATACTTTCAAAGATTAAAAAAAATCTCATTTCTAATATGGACTAGATTTATAAAATGTTACTGTTATAAGAAATGCATAAACTCTCTCTACCGGTCTGGTCGATATATTAAAGTTGTGGAAACTAAAACAGGAAGCAGAAGTAACAGCCAAACCTCCATCAATGCTGCAATGTAAAAAACACAACACAGGCCTACCTGGTCGTGGTACTGGGTGGAGCTGCTGCTGCTGACCCCTCCCCCTCTGCATGGTGCAGGCAGGGCGGTGGGCCTCTCCAGGGGGCAGCTGGGCTCAGGAAAGGGCAGAGTGGGTGGAGGTGGGTGCTGAGGCGCGTGGTGATGGTGGTGGTGGAAGTGGTGGGCGTGGTTGTGCTGCTGGGAGCCCGGCTGCTGGGAGGGCTGGGTCTGCAGGCAGCTGGAATGGCTCATGGTCATGTGACCAGGAGAGGGCCCTCCGCAGGGGGAGTGCTGCGGGCAGCAGGAGGGTAACCTGGGCATGGCCGTGACCCCCACTCTCTCCTGCCACACCGGACGAGCCTCTTCTGCTCTCATCTGATAGAGAGAGATGGAAAACACCTTCAATCATTATTCATAGATGACCCACAGGGAAGATTACTAAACTTATAAAGGCACACAAGGTTGACATCATGGCTTCCTGGAGAGTCTATGGTCTGTCTTACCCTCTGTGCCTGCGGTACCCCTTGGCCCCTGTGCCAGCGTGCTGTCTGGGGCTGGGCCTTGACCGGGGCAGCTGGTGGAGGGGCCCGGGGCATCGTGGGGCTCTGAGGTAGAGGCATGATGAGTGGAGGATGAAGAGGAGGAGCTGACAGTCTGAGGGTGAAGGCTGTCAGAGGTGGATGGCACGACAGAGAGATCTGAGGTAGGGAAAAGAGACCGGTAAACAGAGTAAATAGGTGGGAATTCATTACGTAGCACACATATCCATCTGTGTGTGTGTAGCAGGGTTTCCGGATATTTGACAGGCAGCATTTTAATTTACCGGACATTTGAGAAATGTACTGGACCCATATGCATTGGTTGTGTAACCTGATTAGGGCGTTCACCCACGGTGCTCAGAATGACATAACTCACATTTCGATTATGGTAATTCATATTAACAGAACATGCAAGTCGAGGATGCAATGATGTGCAGTCCATCTTACCAAATTCTGATGTGCACTTTAAAGATGTTCGAATAACTGTCCACATTTACTTTTCCTCAGCCAACAAGACGAGTATCGAACAGCAAAATCACTATCCTATGTCAATTTACTACAGTATAGTAGAAACGTTTAGGCTACCTATTCTATTGGTCAGCTTGTAGAGAAAGAAATAGCCTATTCCAAACTGACTCTGGGACAGGTGTGGGACGATAACTCCCAAAATCATCCAACCAGTAGGCCGAGGCTACATAAAAAAAGCAATGAGTCTGATGCAACAGATCAGAACGTTTAGCTTAAAACGTTGATCAAACTATTATTTCTTCACATTATATGCGCACCAATGTGCACAAGGAAGTAGACTATGTATGAATGTTAGTTCCATAACGCAGTTAGCAGGAAAACACTTGTCAGAACGGCACCGCACACCTGATTGCGGAAATGTAGAAAGAGGGGAGATCTAACATGCAACAACCTGCATGGGTTGCTAATATGAATAGGATTGTGCCTTCGACTACTGGACAATGAAAGAAAGTTGATATAAAATAATTGCCTCCACAGATATGGTCTGATTTTGGCTAGGCTACTTTGAAGCAAGGTAAGACTTGCCTGATAATATGTAGATTAACATTCAGGTTTCAAACAATTAACTATGTTTTAAAAATGCATACTGCCTCCAGCTCCTTGCAAAGTGGTGTGTGACGCGCGGATGTAGCCTACCTTCCACTGACTATGCATTTGCTGTTTGAGATGCTGTAGCAGCAGCAGCTCTCGCGCTGTCTGACAGATTTTCAGCTCAAAGGCTCTGTATCTGTATGCTGTAGGCATGTGATAAATAAGATATGCCTACATAACAAATATACACGGAGTGAACAAAACATGCTCTTTCCATGACAGACTGGCCAGGTGAATCCAGGTGAAAGCTATGATGGCACTTGTTAAATCCACTTCAAATCAGTGTAGATGGGGAGGAGACAGGTTTAAGAAGAATTTTTAAGCCTTGAGACAATTGAGACATGGATTGTGTATGTGTGCCATTCAGAGGGTGAATGGGCAAGACAAAATATTTAAGTGCCATTGAACAGGATATGGTAGTAGGTGCTAGGCGCACTGGTTTGAGTGTGTCAAGAACTGCAACGCTGCTGGGTTTTTCACACTCAACAGTTTCCTGTGTGTATCAAGAATGGTCCACCACCCAAATGACATCCAGCCAACTTGAAACAACTGTGGGAAGCATTGGAGTCAACATGGGCCAGCATCCCTGTGGAATGCTTTCGACACCTTGTAGAGTCCATGCCCCGACGAATTGAAGGCTGTTCTGAGGGCAAAAGGGGGTGCAACTGAATATTAAGAAGGTGTTCCTAATGTTTTGTACACTCAGTGTAGGCCTTCTATACACACAGCAATTTTATTTATCTGCTTTTCTATTTATTTATTTTAAAATCAGCCAAAAGCTAATGGAAACCCTGGTGTGTAGACTGACTGCAGTGGCTTGGCAGCCAGGGAGAAGAAGAGACTCATTAGCATTCCAGAGTGTGCACTCCATCTGCTTTTCATACTCACAAATTAATTTTTCCTCCTCCTCAAAAGAAATGCAAATGCACTCATATCTCACATTGCTCTGCTATTCTGTTATCATTCACACGGCGCGAGACCATAAAGAGAATGCACCAAATTGGACTTTTAAGTCACATTAATGCTTTGGTCTGGTTTACTAATGCCTCAGGTTAGAGGGCAAACTGGTCCGGCAAAACATAGCCATTAGCCAGAGATATGTAGGATGTTGGAATTTTAAAGCCATTACAAAAACAGTCAGTTAACACCTGATACATAATAATAATACTACATTGAATTTATAATGCGCTTTTCATTGAAAAACTATCTCATAGAAATAAATCAAAATAATAATAATAATAATAATAATAATATGCCATTTAGCAGACGCTTTTACCCAAAGCGACTTACAGTCATGCGTGCATAATTTTTTTTTGTGTATGGGTGGTCCCGGGGATCGAACCCACTACCTTGGCGTTACAAGCGCCGTGCTCTACCAGCTGAGCTACAGAGGACCACAAACACAAAACAAACACAACTAGACAGGGCAACTGAAACAAAGAACCCAGTTGACACTACAAGGAACAAGGAACACAGCTATATGTAACAGAGGACCTTCCTAAAGTGGAGGGTTTTTAGGTCATTTTTAAAAGGTGTATATAGGTGAAGCTCAATAAATTAGAATATTGTGGAAAAGTTAAGTAATTTAAATAATTCAATTGACAAAGTGAAACACATATATATCGTGGATTAATTACACAAAAAGTGAAATAGTTTAAGCCTGTATTTGTTTTAATCTTGATGATTACGGCTTACAGCTCATGAAAACCCCAAATTCAGTATCTCCGAAAATTAGAATATGACATAAGACCAGTGAAAAAAGGAAAAGTAATACAGACATGTCAGCCTTCTGAAAAGTATGTTCTTGTACATGCAGGCAGTACTTGGTTGGGGCTCCTTTTGCATGAATCACTGCATCTATGCGGCGTGGCATGGAGTCGATCAGCCTGTGGCACTGCTGTGGTGTTATGGAAGCCCAGGTTGCTTCGATAGCGGCCTTCAGCTCGTCTGCATTGTTGGATCTCGTGTCTCTCATCTTCCTCTTGACAACACCCCATAAATTCTCTATGGGGTTCAGATCAGGCGAGTTTGCTGGCCAATCAAGCACAGTAATCCCATGGTCATTGAACCAGGTATTGGTACCTTTGGCAGTGTGGGCAGGTGCCAAGTCCTGCTGGAAAATTAGATCAGCATCTCCATAAAGCTTGTCAGCAGAAGGAAGCATGAAGTGCTCTAACATTTCCTGGTAGACGGCTGAGTTGACTTTGGACTTGATGAAACACAGTGGACCAACACCAGAAGATGACATGGCTCCCCAAATCATCACTGACTGTAGAAACTTCACACTGGACTTCAAGCAACTTGGATTCTGTGCCTCTCCACTCTTCCTCCAGACTCTGGGACCTTGATTGGCAAATGAATTGCAAAATGTACTTTCATCTGAAAAGAGGACTTTGGACCACTGAGCGACAGACCAGTTCTTTTTCTCCTTAGCCCAGGTAAGACGCTTCTGCCGTTGCCTCTGGTTCAGGAGTGGCTTGACACGAGGAATGCGAAAGTTGTAGCCCATTTCCTGGATACGTCTGTGCATGGTGGCTCTTGATGCACTGACTCCTGCCTCAGTCCACTCCTTGTGAAGCTCCCCCACATTTTTGAATGGCCTTTGCTTGACAATCCTCTCAAGGCTCCGGTTATCCCTGTTGCTTGTGCACCTTTTCCTACCACACTTCTTCCTTCCACTCGACTTTCCATGAATACGCTTGGATACAGCACTCTGTGAACAGCCAGCTTCTTTAGCAATGATCTTTTGAGCCTTTCCCTCCTTGTGGAGGGTGTTGATGACTGTCTTCTGCACAACTGTCAAGTCAGCAGTCTTCCCCATGATTGTGAAGCCTACTGAACTGGACTGAGAGACCATTTAAAGGCTCAGGAAACATTTGCAGGTGTTTTGAGTTAGTTAGCTGATTAGAGTGTGACACCTTGAGTCTTCAATATTGAACTTTTTCACAATATTAAAATTTTCTGAGATACTGAATTTTGGGTTTTCATGAGCTGTAAGCCATAATCATCAAGATTAAAACAAATACAGCCTTGAACTATTTCACTTTTTGTGTAATTAATCCACGATATATATGAGTTTCACTTTGTCAATTTAATTATTGAAAATATTTAACCTTTCCACAATATTCTAATTTATTGAACAGCACCTATATGCAATGGCTTGGGGCTGTCATGAATGAATGAACTGCACTGGAGTAGGCCTATACGTCTGGTGAGAATAATGTACGTATTTGAATTGGGGATGATTAAATATACAGCTCTTCAATGGACTTTGTAATTCAATGTAGGCTATACTCATCAGGAGTCGGCTGTAGTTCCCCTGAATCCAGAGTGAAACCCTTAACCCACATAAGCTTTAATACTGCCAGGTGTATTTCATTCATTGTGCCTAATGCCTATACAGTTACAATGAAGAGCATGCTTATGGCTACTGCTCCAGGTGGCTGGCATTACTGGGACATTTTATCAAGTTACAAACATGATAGGATTTACAGTATGAAACGACATTGGGTTGATGTGTTAAACCAACCAATGAAAGAGAAGTCGCTCTCAGGGGCACGGTCGCTATTAATATTCCTCCATTTGATGAAAAGATAGATTCATCATTATTAAACGGTGCTCGCTTACGGGAACATTTCAAATTGAATTGTGATGACCGGACAATTCTTATTCAAGTTAGCGACACCCACTCGCTCCCAAGTTTGGATAGATGTGTGGAAGAAGCTAGATAATCCTATTAAACAATAGCGTGTAAATGAGAGTATTTAAATTTGACATGTAATATTTCCCAACCCCCTACGCAGTGTTGAGCCAGATCATGTAAGAAAGCATTAAACTCATCTAAATCCTAGTATTGGATGGCCACATTCATATGCTGTGCGACAGGCCGGCTATCGTATGCAGCATCTATGAAAAAGCTGTTCCCAATGTAATTGATTTTTACACATATAATCACCAGATCTATTTTCTTTCTGCCTCAAGAGTAAACTTGCTTCTCTGTATCTGTGTGTGTGTGTGTGTGTGTGTGTGTGTGAGAGAGTGTGAGAGACACACACACACACACAAGTATATGCAACCCTTGTATATGTTGTTCATAGGAAAATGACTTTGTCCTTCTTAAGAGGACAAATGCCTCAAAGGACTACTGTAAACTCGCCTTTGTGTTGAAAGACGAATGAGCCTAGCTTTGAAAGAAAAGACAGTGGAAAAACAGAGGCCTGAGTCTAAGTCTAGGAGCTCTATGTGGCTGTTATATCATATAGTCCATCTCAGAGTGGTATTGGGGGTCGTTGCGTCCTCATGCTCACCATCCTCGTCCACTGTGAGGTCCACCACCTCCCCGGCGCTCTGGCGCAGAGGCTGGATGACGGTAGAGAGGCGGTGGCGGCCGCGTGACTCCTGGGGCCGGTTCTGGGAGCAGCTGGGGCCCCAGTACATCCTGCCATGGCCTCCCACCGAGCGAGGCCTGTGGACACAAACACAGCCAGTTAGAGATGGAGGAGAGGAGAGAAGAGGGGGGCAAACAACCAGATTAAACAAGGCTTTAGTTTTCAGACTGACTGGGATCAAGCTGATAATGCCAGGTTATATGGGCCCTGGGCTTGGGCTATGATATTGTAACAATTCTATGATATTGATGACCACACAGTGGATGAGATCCAGTCCATAGGACTTCATGGAGAAGTGTGAAAATCCAGACAATTCAGCCCGTTTTTCCTCCCGAAGCAAATCTCTTGTATAAATAAATATATGAAGAACGGATCATTTTATATGATGTCATTTATCATGTAGTAAAATGAAAGTTGAAGCGTTGTCATTTGGAGGTGGGGGATGGGCCACACTGCTCTTTCTGTGTGTTGAGCACAATCAGGCTCACTTTGGGAGCTGCTGGAACGCTCGGTGGAATGGAAATAAGAGCCAGCTGACATGAGAGCTGGAGCTGCAGCTAATTCAAAAAGACATAGGTTACACACAGCCGTGTGCATGAGAGACACACACACAGCTGTGCACACCTTTGAGAACCACACAGAAATATCACGTTTGTTTTAAACACGTGGCTTCATCCACCACACCCACTAACAAACTGCAAAACAACCTTGTGGAAAACACAATTCAACATCCAACACATCTACCTCATTTAACCTCATCTACCACGCACATTTGCTTAAGTCACAACCATTGTGAATAATTGACTGTGCTCTCTCTTTCTCTCTCCCTTTTGCAGTCTTCACCCCCCCCCCCCCATCTCACTGCCTCACTCTTTCCTCCTCCCTCTCTCTCTCGGAGTGATGTGGGAGTCCAGAGAGTATCAGTGTGCCGTAAAGCAGGATGAGGGGGGGAGGAGCCTAGGGGATAGAGTGCCTGCCGTAAAGCAGCCCGTCATGGAGAGATGAGGCTGGGGAACAGCAGTGTTTTTCCCAGAGAGAGAACAGTAAACCAGGCTAAGGGAAGGGGAGTGCCAAGAGAAGAGAGACCCCTGCTCCTCTCAACACAGGGCTGCTGCTGGAACCCCTTAACCACAGGTTGCATCATTAAAACCGCCAAACAATACGATTACAGACAAGCATGGTGGGCTGCTGATATTCCAGTGAGACCAGTGTGTGTGTGCACACAACAATAGCAAGGCCATACACACACACACACACACACACACAAGGCCATGTAGGCCTAAGAAGTCCTTATAATAAGCAGGCATGGGAGAGAGTGCTGTGAGAGTGTCCACTCACACCATTCAGCAGAGGAAATGCCATTCTCACTGCTGTGGGCTGCATCGGTGCTGTGCTGTGGGGGGATTCCCATTAGCTCATACTGCAGCCCATTCCATTTCCTGTCAGACGGACAAGCTTCACAACAAAGGAAAAGGAACGGAAGGCAACAAAAACCTATTAGTGCAATTTCTGACGGCATGTCCCATGGGGCAGTTCACACTCGCACACACACCATGTGGAGCAGTGAGGGTGGTACACACAGAGAACCAGTAGAGATGTGGCTTGATTGCAGTGTAATTGGCACCTGCTCCTCCTCTCTCCCACCTCTGGGCCCAGGGAACAGGCCAGCCCACCTCCTCCTGTCTCCCTCCTCGGGGCCTAGGGAGCAGGCCAGCCCACCAGGGACAAGCACCTAATTACCCACAACGTAGACCTGGGATTATTTTGTAAATACCTGTTTACCACCGTGGCCTCTGAGGGGTGGAGGCGAGGGGAAAACAGAACACAGTAAACATGAACACAGTGGGAACTGGGGGCTTGGCAGGACCAGGTTTTTGACATCTCCACGCACTCTCTGCCAAATGCCTGGGGGCTTAAAGAATGCTCGACAGTGCGGTAATGTTGGGCTAACTGCAGGGACGGGATCTATGGACTGTGTACAAAGGCTATGGTAGTGGGGGGAGGGGGAGGGGCAACACAATTAAGGGACTAAATGGACTGTGTGGAAACCATAAACAATAGGAAACATCTGGCACTACATCGCAGCAAGACGGAAGAGTGAGCTGCATGTTCTGCACCAAAACCCAAAGCCTTCGCTGATACTGAATATGGCACGCATGCATACAGACACATACACACACCCTCTATCCCAATCATTGGCCTCTGCACTGTAAACAAAGAATCTTTCAGCGGAAAACCGTCATTGCTCATCCTGCTGCCCTTTGACCCCCACACCTAGTGCTCCTCGCTAGCCCTCCCCCTTCAGAAACGGCCCTTCTCTGCATTCTCCTGCAAGCCAGAGCATCTCTGGGAGGTGCAGGCAGAGATGGGGAGATAAAAACACACACACACAACCTCCCCTATCTACACTCTGCTCATTCACTTCGCGGAAATACCTAGGGAGAATATGGTCAACCTAGCATGAAGAGAGAGGGAGAGAATGAAGATAGAGGAGGGAGAGAGCGAGAGAAGTGGCGAGAGAGAGCCATGGGAGGGAGGGAGATAAAGGGAGAGAGAAAGAGAGAAATAGAGAGAGGAGGGAGGGAGATTAAGGGAGAGCGAGAGGGTGAGGGAGGAAGAGTGATAGAGCAAGTGAGGAAGCACCAGAGAGGGAGGATGGAGATTGAGAGAGAGGGATGGGGTGCCAGGGAAGACCAAGATATTGAGGGAGAGAGAGAGCAATGCTTACGTAAACCCATCTGTATCACACTCCAAATATTTAGAAGTTCTCAGAAAGAGACAGCCTTTTTTCATTTCTTGAAGGCCCTTACTGATCTCTTCCCCCCTGAATATTTCTGAAAAGGCCAGGCACGTTTTGCCTTATCAACTCCTGGATAACGACGTTTAAAATAAGTCACTCTGCACAACCTGAATTAATCTACAGAGGAGCACTGTCAGGGAACAATCAATCACGGGCAAGCTAATCGCGTGTCTGTGGGACAGAGGGAACATGGGGAGAGAGAGAATGAAGAGAGAGAGGAGAGAGAGAATGGGAGAAATTAACAGGGCCACTCCAGTCAGTCAAGCCAAGTGGGTGAAATTCTCCATTGGGGTTCCAGACCTGCAGAATGGGCTCACTGAGATGGTGGGCCCAGAAAGAGTGGTCAGATGAGCTGGCCTCTGGAAGGGGGGGGGGGTACTTGGCTTCACTGCTAAAAACAACCGGAGGCATGTGGTCTGCTCCCCAGTGCTGCTCTTCTCTGGGTATGCTATGCACTATGCAGAGCTATGGAGAGACCCTGCATGGCCCCCTGTTATTCCACTCCACAGCAGCCTTAACTAGTCTCTAAACCTGTTCTTTAACTGCTCATTCAGAAGGCCTCACACTTCCTCAACACTACTAACCAACAGTATGTTATTACTCTTCTTGTTTCCTGCTCTGGTCCCCCCCCCACCCCGCTTTCACCCACTCCCTGCATTCCACTCACAGCACACAGCAAACAGGCACAGTCCAAACACACAGAACACAAAGTCCACACACACACACACACATAGACAGAGAGCTGGGAGCCTTGAGATGAGTCACATCGACAGTCAGAGCCTGAGAGAGGGAGCACCACCACTGACCTTAGGTTTCACACAGAGGGCCCCATTCTGGGAACCAGACACTACTCAACACTTCATTGCACTGCCCTACATACAGAACAAATATCCTACATCTAAAAACCTACGCTTGAAAACAACATGATCACTTTCCTTGCAGACACAATGTATTATATTATATTTTAGTGTTGTCTGTAGAGTGAGGAGGGGGCTCCTCATCCTGAAAATAATGGGGAGTGATGCCACATGAATGGTCATACCAGAGAGACTGAGAGGCTTCTAGAACCTTCTCTGGCCCCAACGGGCCTGTTTACACAGAACACTCCATGACATGGCTGTGCTGTGTATCTCCTCTCTAGCCAGCAGAGAGGAGGCCATATTTGGATGATTGTCTTCCTGAAAGCATAATGACGGGGCTTAACAAAACATAACATAAGCTTATGGCTAACAATGCTAGTATGCTATGCCATGGATTGCATTAGTTAGGAGCATAATTACACAAGGTGGATTAGCTAGCAAGTTAACACACTATACAGCGACAGGAACCAACCAATCCCCTAACATGCAAGTGAATGACAGCCTCATTAAGTTAGCATTAATGTAGTTAGCTGAGTATTTACTGAAGCAAATGAGTGTCTCAGTCAAGGACACAGCAGCTTGGAGGCTCACCTGGGATTACTAGCAGCCTCGCTCTCTCTCCTCTCCAGTCAGCCATCCATTCCCCTCATCAATAGGCCTTACTACCACCCTGAACATCTGAATACCATTCAGATTCAATGGAAAACACATTCAAATGCACTGGGCTCAGTGGACTGGCCACTCCTGATCTTTAGGCCTATGGTATGCTTTGTGGACATCTAGAGATTCGTGACAGGCACAGCGTTGAGATAATTTGCCTATTCAGTAAACATGCACGATGTTGCTTGTTCAAGTATTTTTAAGTGTCAGAACAGTATTTTGACCAGCAATGGGCTAAAAAGGATAAAGAAAATCACCTATGCAGATTTATTTGTTTACTTTACTCCCCTGATATCTATTCTGCTCATTTGTCTCACGAGAGACAACGCATATCACAAACAGAGAGCAATTCATTTGGGTTGACAGAGTGACTTTGCTGGCAGGAGTGAAATTCACAGGCCTTGCTATTTCTGGCAGCAGAGGGTGGGATAATGGAATCAAGCTGGTGGAAATGACTCTCAGCGCTATGCACCAAGGCACCTCAATAACAATTAAAGAGAGGAGAGGGGTTCAAGGAGAGAAAGACACGGGGAACGACAATAAACAGAAACAACTCAGAGAGGAACGCCACTATAACAGTGAAACAGAACAGATATACCGTAGCATAGCACACTCATACTTGCACTGCTGTAAAAGTCCCAATGCATGATATCAACTCTCCTCAGGTCATGGCAGAGAGCATTTTCAGAAGACATCTCACAGGAGTCAGATAGAGAAATCATGTAGGCCAAGGTCTATGTAGAAAGACTACACTCTGGGATTTGACTAGAGGCCTCTGACGGTACCCACTTCACAAAGCCTGCCAAAAGCCCTGGTAACCTGTAACCAGCTGGCATTTATTTCCCATGTTTTAGTAATCATATTGGTTCAGGAGAGCGTGCCGCGAGGAGAGGAGAAAAGCAAATCCACCTGGATCTGATGTCCTGGTTCTCTAGATCAGACTGTACCAGAGAGACCCTTGAACTGGACCTGGAGTTCCCTGACAGGGGGATCAGAGGTAACTGGGCCTGGATCAGAGTGAACTGAGGGTTAGATGAGAATGCCCTGGGGGGAGAGAGGGTCTCTCGTTAGATTTTTCATGGAGGATGGGGAGAGAGCTTGTGTATTATTGTCTGGAAGCCTTGCCCTTGAAAAAGACACCGATAGCAACAGCTTGGAGAGCTGTGGAATGCCAGCGCAATGATGCAGCCTGCCAGCTTCACGGCCAATCCCAGATGTGCAATATCTCCCCTGCCATAGTGATACCAGCAGCTTCTCCATAGGGGCCAAACAACACTGAGAGCCTACACGGCATTTCTGAGGTACCCTGGAAAACACTACCCCAGCCCTATTCAGCAGTCTCAGTAAATGTTATGACACTTGATGAGAAGCCAGTGCTCAGCGAGCCTCTACTAGACCCACCACAGTTGACTGTGATTATATCGACAGAGCCACGGTGATAAAGTACTGTCAATACTGCAGGGCCAGGCTCTCTCAGGACACCAATGAAGGCTGCTGCCATTTTGACTGCTTTCACAGCTTAAAAGCGGGGAAATATTGAGATGGATGTTTTTTCTCCCGAGAAAGAGGATTTCACAGCCAAATTACTTTACCATCTCATTTACATTCAATTTTCCACTGTGGTTCATTATCTCTGTACAGCATTGATCTCCTCAGAGAGGAGACAGGGGAAGGTGCTCACCTGAAGCCATCTCCTACGTTGACTATCTCCACCTCGCTGTCGGTGGAGGTGACGTTGATCTCCTCGCTGGCTGGGACAGGGGGTGCAGGGGTCGCCTCGATCACCACCACGTCCTCATCCAGAGAACCTAGAACACAACACACAGTCAAATCAAATGTTATTAATCACATGCGCCGGATACAACTGGTGTAGACTTTATAGTGAAACACTTGCTTAAGAATCTTTCCCAACGAGGCAGAGTAAAATAGAAAAATAAACAGTAACTAACACGAGGAATACAATAAAATACACAAGAATGGATCTATATACAGGGAGTACCAGTACCAGATCAATGTGCTGGGGTACGAGGTATTTGAGGTAGATACACTATATATACACAAAAGTATGTGGACACCCCTTCAAATTAGTGGATTCTGATATTTCAGCCACACCCGTTGCTGACAGGTGTATAAAATCGAGCACACAGCCATGCAATCTCCATAGACAAACATTGGCAGTAGAATAGCCTTACTGAAGAGCTCAGTGACTTTCAACGTGTTACCGTCATAGAATGCCACCTTTCCAACAAGTCAGTTCGTCAAATTTCTGCCCTGCTAGAGCTGCCCCGGTCAACTGTAAGCGCAACGTCAACACAAAAACTGTTATTCGGGAGCTTCATGAAATGGGTTTCCATGGCAACAAGCAGCCCACACAAGCCTAAGATCACCTGGCGCAATGCCAAAAGCTCGGGCTCTAAAGGTGTGGTAAGCTCCCACACGCCACATGGCACAACGCAGTGTGAAACGTGTTCTCTGGAGTGATGAATTACGCTTCACTATCTGGATGCCAGGAGAACGTTACCTGCCCGAATGCATAGTGCCAACTGTAAAGTTTGGTGGAGGAGGAATAATGGTCTGGGGTTTTTCACAGTTTGGGCTAGGCCCCTTAGTTCCAGTGAAGGGAAATCAACGCTACAGCATACAATGACATTCTAGAACGATTCTGTGCGCCCATTCCTGTTTCAGCATGACAATGCCCCCGTGCACAAAGCGAGGTCCATACAGAAATGGTTTGTCGAGATCGGTTTAGAAGAACTTGACTGGCCTGCACAGAGCCCTGACCTCAACCTTATCAAACACCTTTGGGATGAATTGGAACGCCGACTGCGAGCCAGGCCTAATCACCCAACATCAGTGACCACCCTCACTATTGCTCATGGCTGAATGGAAGCAAGTCTCCGCAGCAATGTTCAAACATCTAGTGGAAAGCCTTCAAAGAAGAGTGGAGGCTGTTATAGCAGCGAAGGGGGGACCAACTCCATATTAATGGCCATGATTTTGGAATGAGATGTTCGACGAGCAGGTGTCCACAGCCCACATACTTTTGGTCCTGTAGTGTATCTACATGAAGGCAGGGTAAAGTGACTAGGCATCCAGATAGATAATAATAAGAGTATACTGCGGAGAGAGATCCGTCAATTTGACCTGTAAGTTCTTATGTAAACATTTTTGAACTGATAAAAATAAGATTCTTTGCTACCTGAGAACCTTGGACTGTATTCATATAAAGTGGCCGGAAATTCACTTCACGTAAATACAATTGTAGCCGTTTTAGTATGCAGTTAATTCCAGAGAGGTTAGACATGTCTGTAGCTGTATATAGCAGGCTCTGTTGCTAAGATGGCTGGTTGACAACGCATCAGCTCATGTGTTCCACAGCAACATAAACAACCTCCACCAGCATCCTCTGGTGTTTCTTCCTCACCAGGGGAGAAACACACCCAAAGCTAAATAGGAAGGAGTATCAGTATCAGTATAAATGAATAGTGATTGTGGCGTCTGTGTGCAGGCTAACAGTCTGTGTACTGGGCCTGTGTGAAATGTAGGTCAGTAAATGCTGCTCCGCTCTCCACTGTTTGCAGGATTGGGGATTTGCAGTGCAATCTCTGCATCTGCACTTTGATTGGTCCCCATTCCAGTATCTCTCGTTCCAGTTCTCATTCCAGCCATGCCTGACCTGTCCTCACTGTCAGGAAGAGGCCCGGGTGTGTTCAATACACTTAAACATTTCATCACGTTGCAACCAGGAAGGCAAGAGGCTTGTTGTTTTTGTCACACCACCCCAAACAGCTAGTTCTAAATGTGACCCTTATACTCGCTGTCTGTTTGATCTACAGCCATATCTTTACAGATTAAAAATAATTCATTCTAGTCCACTGTGTATTATTTACATTAGGTTCAACTGTGCCATGTATTGCCTCATTGATGCTGTGTTGTTTGTGTGTCTCTGTGCAGTGAGCAGTGCCTTTGTTGCTCTAGTGAACATCAGTACTCCCCTGAGTGAGTTCTATTGCAGTGGTCCAGTGGGTGCAGCAACCCTCTCCTAGCCTAGCTACCCCTCTCCCTCATGAAACATACAGCTCTACACAAACACTTCCTGGTTCAGGGAATGTAAATAAGAAGACTATATGACCTCACATCTAAACTGAACAATGGCCGATGTGACTATTGACATGGACAAATAAGAGAAATGTCCTGGCTGCTTGCTTTGAATAGAGATTTATTTCAGTGTGTAGTGTTTGTATTCTCCATTTTGCAGTTGAGAGAAGGCAGATTGTGACCTCAGGGGTGTATGCAGTTTAGCGTAACACACAGTATGATCAGTTGCCGATAGAAATGTCATGTATAGAACTGTCATGATTTTTGTACCCTACTGCAGGGCATATGTCTATATTGTGACATGAATACAGGAATTACAGTACTAAAACACTCCTGTCATGACCGGGAGACCCATGGGGCGGCGCACAATTGGCCCAGCGTTGTCCAGGGTAGGGGAGGGAATGGCCAGCAGGGATGTAGCTCAGTTGGTAGAGCATGGCGTTTGCAACGCCAGGGTTGTGGGTTCGATAAAATAATGTATGCGCTAACTGTAAGTCGCTCTGGATAAGAGCGTCTGCTAAATGACTAAAATGTAAAATGTAAATGTAATGTCCATGTATTTGAAGTCTGATGACTATAGGCAGCTCTGTGATTGGGCCTTTATATGGCCATTACATTCATCCCCTCCTCTAGCCAATAGAGAGCCATCTCTACCGACTGCCTCCTTCCTCTCCTCTGCTATAAACATTGGCATAGTTTCTCCTCTGAGAGCCCTTGTTGTTTCCAAGCAGGCTACAGTGGGGCTTAGAGCTCAGTGCTTGTCAGTCCTCTCCACCCACCTACTTCCCATAGCAAAGACTCTCCCCATGACCCCGTCGATCCTTCCCCAGGGCCACTTAGTGGAAACACTATTACAGCTTAGGTACATGAAGACATTCAACTGAGAGAGGGGAAAGAGGGGAAAGTAGGAATGGAAAATTAAGAGTTTCTTGAAAAAGTACATTCTTTGTCAAGTGTTGTAGCGGTGCAGCTCAGGAAACAGCAGGTGGTTGTCAGAGGCGTGCTGTGCTCCTCTACTCTGCTGTACTGTGGTGTGATATGGGAAGACAAGCTGGGTGCATAAACCCAGACACCTGCAGCTCAGACACAGGTTTCTGGGCTGCCTGGGTTGGAGCTCCGGGTAGCAGAGCGGGGACGTGGACATTGCCCTTTTGGTGCGAGGTCGGTTATCCCCCATCAGCAATACCTACCCACCTTGCATGCAAAGTCTATTTTCCACAGGTATTCACAGGTCAGGGTGACTCAGAGGTGTGATCGAGAGGAGCCAGTGAGTGACCTTGGTAGAACAAAGCGAATGTGCTACATAATAATGAGTGAGATATGTGGGAGGGAAGGTGCTATTGCTACTCAACAGGAAATTCAAATGTGCATACATAGTCTGAAACTTGAAATGTGCGTGTGCAGCGCCGGACCATTCTATAGCGAGCGACGCACAGCCCTCATTTGTAAGTCTCAAAGTGAAACACATACATTAGAGCTCCATCAAAGCATGTATGTTCATGGTAACTGCTGAAGAGCTGGCCTCAGAGGTTCATAAAGAGGTATATGAATATGAGAGGAAAAAACGGAAATGTCTCTTGAACATAGCCCTCTTTGTTTCAGGCATTTTCAGCCTAAAAGGCTTGGCCATGGCCCAGGGGTCATATTCCAGCAAACCCTTGGGCTTAACTTGTCTGTGTGTATTCCACTGCACAAGAGCTATGAAGCAGATGCTAAGCTACAAGACTGTTTCGCTAGCACAGACTGGAATATGTTCCGGGATTCTTCCGATGGCATAGAGGAGTACACCACGTCGTCCCCACAGTGACTGTACGTACATACCCCAAACAGAAGCCATGGATTACAGGCAACATCCGCACTGAGCTAAAGGGTAGAGCTGCCGCTTTCAAGGAGCGGGACTCTAACCCGGACGCTTATAAGAAATCCCGCTATGCCCTCAGACGAACCATCAAACAGGCAAAGCGTCAATACAGGACTAAGATCGAATCGTACTACACCGGCTCCGACGCTCGTCGGATGTGGCAGGGCTTGCAAACTATTACAGACTACAAAGGGAAGCACAGCCGCGAGCTGCCCAGTGACACGAGCCTACCAGAGTTAAATTACTTATATGCTCGCTTCGAGGTAAGTAACACTGAAACATGCATGAGAGCATCAGCTGTTCCGGACGACTGTGTGATCACGCTCTCCGTAGCGGATGTGAGTAAGACCTTTAAACAGGTCAACATTCACAAGGCCGCAGGGCCAGACGGATTACCAGGACATGTACTCAGAGCATGCTCTGACCAACTGGCAAGTGTCTTCAATTACATTTTCAACCTCTCCCTGTCTGAGTCTGTAATACCAACATGTTTCAAGCAAATCACCATAGTCCCTGTGCCCAAGAACACCAAGGTAACCTGCCTAAATGACTACCGACCCGTAGCACTCACGTCTGTAGCCATGAAGGGCTTTGAAAGGCTGGTCATGGCTCACATCAACACCATTATCCCAGAAACCCTAGACCCACTCCAATTTGCATACCGCCCCAACAGATCCACAGATGATGCAATCTCTATTGCGCTCCACACTGCCCTTTCACACCTGGACAAAAGGAACACCTATGTGAGAATGCTATTAATTGACTATAGCTCAGCGTTCAACACCATAGTGCCCTCAAAACTCATCACTAAGCTAAGGACCCTGGGACTAAACACCTCCCTCTGTAACTGGATGCTGGACTTCCTGACGTGCCGCCCCCAGGTGGTAAGGGTAGGTAACAACACATCCGCCACGCTGATCCTCAACACTGGGGCCCCTCAGGGGTGCGTCCTCAGTCCCCTCCTGTACTCCCTGTTCACTCATGACTGCATGGCCAGGCACGATTCCAACACCATCATTAAGTCTGTCGATGATACAACAGTGGTAGGCCTGATCACCGACAACGACGAGACAGCCTATGGGGAGGAGGTCAGAAAACTGGCCGTGTGATGCCAGGACAACAACCTCTCCCTCAACGTGATCAAGACAAAGGAGATGATTGTGGACTACAGGAGAAACAAGAGGACCGAGCACGCCCCCATTCTCATCGACGGGGCTGTAGTGGAGCAGGTTGAGAGCTTCAAGTGCCTTGGTGTCCACATCACCAACAAACTAACATGGTCCAAGCACACCAAGATAGTCGTGAAGAGGGCACGACAAAGCCTATTCCCCCTCAGGAGACTGAAAATATTTGGCATGGGTCCTCAGATCCTCAAAAGGTTATACAGCTGCACCATTGAGAGCATCCTGACTGATTGCATCACTGCCTGGTATGGCAACTGCTCGGCCTCCAACCACAAGGCACTACAGAGGGTAGTGCGTACGGCTCAGTACATCACTGGGGCCAAGCTTCCTGCCATCCAGGACCTCTATACCAGGCGGTGTCAGAGGAAGGCCCCGCACCGGTACCACCGCACGGCAAGTGGTACCGGTGCGCCAAGTCTAGGTCCAAGAGGCTTCTAAACAGCTTCTACCCCCAAGCCATAAGACTCCTGAACATCTAATCCAGACTCCTGAACATCTAATCCAGTACCCAGACTATTTTTCTTAAAACTGCATTGTTGGTTAAGGGCTTGTAAATAAGCATTTCACTGTAAGGTCTACACCTGTTGTATTCGGCGCATGTGTTAAATAAACATTGGATTTGATTTGAAAATAATGGAAAATGCTGGACTTTCACTGCCTCTACCCCTGGCGCCTACAAAGCTGCACAGAGCTCAAACACTGTGGATAGAATCTAAAAATAAAAAAAACGGATTATTCAATCTTCACAGATACACCCACAGATATACCCACACCCATCCTAGTCCTGTGATATTGTGCTTTGTTCATAAAATAGCCTAACTCTGACTGAGCTAATTCAATCAATCAATATTTAGGCAGCTTTTCTCATTGCTGTTGAGCACACAGAGCAGGGAAGGACTGGCACAACCCAAACTAGGCTCAGGGATTAAAATGTCTCTTCCACGATCAGAGGAGGAATGTATATTTTGATCATTTTCTCTGAACAACGTAACATTTTACTGTAGTCATGTGTTTTAGAGTGTAACGAACATTCGGTTGATGTTCACTGCCAAATCAAGTGTTTTTCCAAATAATGGAGGAGAGGGGGACAGCAAACAAAACACAGTTCTGGCTAGAGAGAGAGACAGCGAAAGTGCTGCTGGCCTGGTGAAAGAAACCAAATTAAAAACGAAATCCCAATTCTGAGTGTCTTATTATAGCCCTGGTAGGACATCTTTCAGCAAGATGGAACAAAAACATTTTAATGGTTGCTTGGCCCCCAGGCTACACATCTCACTTCCAGAGAATAATAACACAAAGGCCAAATATATTCCCCCCAATACAGTTACAGTGAGACTGAATAAAACTATAGGACTAGGCTGTGTACACATTGCAAATGTACATTCTGAAGGCCATTCATGCATTCCTTTGCTCAGTCTTTTCTCTGAGACTAAAAATATCAACTGATCTCAATTTTGAGCAAAGTGGATTCACAGAAATTAGCTTGCATTATATTAATTTGACATGAATGAATTTGACAACACATATTACTGTGGTGTGATGCAACACAGACTTTGACTAATGTGGACAAACGTATGAGATGTTTGTCTCTGCAACATCATAAGTGTCCATACAGTGAGGGAAAAAAGTATTTGATCCTCTGCTGTTTTTGTAAGTTTGCCCACTGACAAAGAAATGATCAATCTATAATTTTAATGGTAGGTTTATTTGAACAGTGAGAGACAAAAGAACAACAAAAATATCCAGAAAAACGCATGTCAAAAATGTTATAAATTTATTTGCATTTTAATGAGGGAAATAAGTATTTGACCCCCTCTCAATCAGAAAGATTTCTGGCTCCCAGGTGTCTTTTATACAGGTAACAAGCTGAGATTAGAAGCAATCAATCAATCAGATTCCAAAATCTCCACCATGGCCAAGACCAAAGAGCTCTCCAAGGATGTCAGGGACAAGATTGTAGACCTACACAAGGCTGGAATGGGCTACAAGACCATCGCCAAGCAGCTTGGTGAGAAGGTGACAACAGTTGGTGTGATTATTCGCAAATGGAAGAAACACAAAAGAACTGTCAATCTCCGTCGGCCTGGGGCTCCATGCAAGATATCACCTCGTGGAGTTGCAATGATCATGAGAACGGTGAGGAATCAGCCCAGAACTACACGGGAGGATCTTGTCAATGATCTCAAGGCAGCTGGGACCATAGTCACCAAGAAAACAATTGGTAACACATTACACCGTGAAGGACTGAAATCCTGCAGCGCCGGCAAGGTCTCCCTGCTCAACAAAGCACATATACATGGCCATCTGAAGTTTGCCAATGAACATCTGAATGATTCAGAGGAGAACTGGGTGAAAGTGTTGTGGTCAGATGAGACCAAAATCGAGCTCTTTGGCATCAACTCAACTCACCGTGTTTGGAGGAGGAGGAATGCTGCCTATGACCCCAAGAACACCATCCCCACCGTCAAACATGGAGGTGGAAACATTATGCTTTGGGGGTGTTTTTCTGCTAAGGGGACAGGACAACTTCACCGCATCAAAGGGACTATGGACGGGGCCATGTACCGTCAAATCTTGGGTGAGAACCTCCTTCCCTCAGCCAGGGCATTGAAAATGGGTCGTGGATGGGTATTCCAGCATGACAATGACCCAAAACACACGGCCAAGGCAACAAAGGAGTGGCTCAAGAAGAAGCACATTAAGGTCCTGGAGTGGCCTAGCCAGTCTCCAGACCTTAATCCCATAGAAAATCTGTGGAGGGAGCTGAAGGTTCGAGTTGCCAAACGTCAGCCTCGAAACCTTAATGACTTGGAGAAGATCTGCAAAGAGGAGTGGAACAAAATCCCTCCTGAGATGTGTGCAAACCTGGTGGCCAACTACAAGAAACGTCTGACCTCTGTGATTGCCAACAAGGGTTTTGCCACCAAGTACTAAGTCATGTTTTGCAGAGGGGTCAAATACTTATTTCCCTCATTGAAATGCATATCAATTTATAACATTTTAGAAATGCTTTTTTTCCTGGATTTTTTGGTTGTTATTCTGTCTCTCACTGTTCAAATAAACCTACCATTAAAATTATAGACTGATCATGTCTTTATCAGGTGGACAAACATACAAAATCAGCAGGGGATCAAATACTTTTTTCCCTCACTGTATACCCATGACCTATGAAATGTTTGACTACATCTCGACTGTAATGCGTAATTCAAATAAAGTATTTAAAATGTGTGTGTGCAAGAGAAAAGGTCTGAAGCACGGATGGTGAGTTTACCTGTGGCCACAGCTGCGCTGCTTGGCTGGCTGCTGCTACTGCTGCTGATGTCCACATACAGCTCGTCCTCTGCCTCTGTGGACGAGGGCGAGGATGACTCGCTGGTCAGCTCCTCACTGGAGCTGCTTGTGCTGTGGAGCAGCGCGTACTTCTGGCGAGCGATTACCTCCCGCTTCTTCCTCTGGAGAAGCAGGCGCTCCTTCTGCTTCTGAGTCCGCTGGATGCCGCCGGGCCCAGCCTTCACAAACCGCTTCCTATGCAGTGGCCGCCGCCCGCTCAGACATGGCCGCTTCAGCAGCACCGGCACCGGCTCCGCCTCTGACCGTGCCCACTTATGAGAGCGGCTTCCCCGAGTCCGACCCAGAATGGTGCGCAGCCCCACCCCTGTCCCGCCCCCTGTGGTGGAGACCGGCGCCTGCTGTGGGGGCTGTGGTCCCCCTGCTGATCCCGTCCCTCCAGCCTCCACCTCTTCCTCTGAGCTCAGAGTGTCCGAGTCCCTGAAGCGCAGGCTGGAGGAGGGAGAGGAGGCACAGTCACTGAACGAGGACTCTGGGTTGCGTTCATCCTCGCTGCGGCGCTCCAAGAGATCTGGCTGGTGGCGCTGAAGGGGAAGAGAGCCCTCACTGACACGACCCTCCTTCAGGGAGCAGTCCGAGGGCCCTGGCTGTTGGCTCTTGCGCTTTTTGCGTCCGGGCAGGCCCCTGTCTGGGTCTCTGCGGGCCACTGTGTCCCTCAGGGGCCGGTGCCTGGTCTCGGCACACAGCGGTGCAAACTCGCTGCCTGCCTTGCCGATCACCTCCATGTTGGCAGGGAAGCTCTTGGCTGTCTCCATGGGCTCTGGGTTGGCCAGCGGACCCTTCAGGTGCTCCTGTCTGCCCTGGGCCTCAGAGGGCACCTCGCTCTTCATGCTGCCTGGTCCACGCAGACGCAACGCCAAGTAAACTTCCACCAGCTCCTATAGGTCCATTGGTGGCACTGCAACTAACCTAGTGCTGTGAAACAAGAGAAGATAAACGTTAGACACACTAACAAAGTGTAATCATTATTTTTCAATGGAGGCAATTTATAAACAGAAAGATGGGCTAAATGTATTATGATAATAATTACATGCTGTGTTAATATAGAGGTGCTCGCTATCTCGTTGTGTACGAGGAGAAAGGCAAAAATAGTGCACCATGGTTTGTTTGTGAGAGCAAATGAATTGAGGCCTTGGGCTGAGTCAGTTGTGTAGCATTTGTTTTATTATCCATTCCTGGCAGTGCATGACTCAGACTGGATGGTAATCTAGGACTAATCACAGTACGCTCGCTAGGCTTGATGCTGTAATGAAGGAAACTGATGAGCAGAGTAAGGTCATGCAGCCTGGCAATATGGAAAAGGGGGGAAAAAAACACTAGAGCATCTCTTTTACCAGTTTAATGTCTCCAGCTCAACTCTCTATTGTAGTGATAAAACCATGGGAAGGCTGCGTGGGGAGATTAGGAGACATTTTCATAATGGCATTACCGGAACAGAATGGACCGGAGAACTCGCTAATCTATATCTTCAGAATGTACCAGGGTACAAGCAACCAATGCTAAGCATGCATCCCTTTGATATAGATCTTATAAATAAAAACAAGCATGCTGACGTCAAAGCACTAGCCTAGCACAAAAAAAATGCCAGATTCTAGGCCTAAAATCATATAGGCCTAATCTCACCGCTTTCCCCCCTCTTCATTTATCATGATTCCCCTCTCCATCCCTCACCATTTATCACACATCCTCTTTTCCTAAAATGGTCTAGTCTAATCACACTGTTTCTACTTCAAAAAAGAAGCCTTTCACCAAGGGGAGGACAAAATAAAATGTCTTCTGCCTCAGTGCAGTCACCTCAAGTCCTTTCCTTTGAATTATGAAAGCAGCCATCTGTTTAAAAAGGCACGTTGGCTCTGTTCATTAGCCTACTTCTTGGTGTGGTGGAGTGGTATAACGTGCACACACAGCTGGCAGTGTGGTGTTTTCCTATACTTGAGCCACCAGTAAACACCTCAAACTAAGATTCTGAATAAAATCCAATTTTATGAGATGTATTTTATTTACTGACACAAGTAAACTGAATTGGACATTGTAAGCTATCCTTTAGAAGCCTTATAATGGTTGGCCTAATGAAGCCGTACTGATTAAACAGTAATGTGTAAAGACATACTAATTGCCATTCTCCAGCCTGCAATATCCTGTGTATTGACACAAGGCTCAGTATGAAAACAATGAACTCTACGTTGTAAAGCCTTGTTCACACTGCAGGCCTTAACGCTCAAATCAGATTTGTTTTTCAAAACCGCTTTGGAATACTGACTGTCCAAACAGCAAGTTACAAGTGACCAAATCGGATGTGTGGGAGTTCAGTCAAAATTATTTTGCTGACATGATCCAACTTTCAAAACGAGTCTTTTTTGGCTCGCCACAGCAGTCAACTAGCTAGCCATTTAGCTTTCTAGCACATTCACTAATTTGTTTGGGTTGTTGTCAAACTAACATGTTACATTTATTAGTCATTTAGCAGACGCTCTTATCCAGAGCGACTTACAGTTAGTGAGTGCATACATTATAAATTGTGTTTTTGTTTGTTTTCATACTAGCCCCCCGTGGGAATCGAACCTGGCATTGCAAACGCCATGCTCTACCAACTGAGCTACATCCCTGCCGGCCATTCCCTCCCCTACCCTGGACGACGCTGGGCCAATTGTGCGCCGCCCCATGGATCTCCCGGTCGCGGCCGGCTACGACAGAGCCTGGATTCGAACCAGGATCTCTAGTGGCACAGCTAGCACTGCGATGCAGTGCCTTAGACCACTGCGCCACTCGGGAGAATGTTCTTGTCAAACTGTCAGAGTAGCTAGCAAGCAACAAGAAGGCACTCAAAATTGTCAAAGACTCCAGCCACCCTAGTCATAGACTGTTCTCTCTGCTACCGCACAGCAAGCGGTACCGGAGTGCCAAGTCTAGGTCCAAAAGACTTCTCAACAGCTTCTACCCCCAAGCCATAAGACTCCTGAACAGCTAATCATGGCTACCCGGACTATTTGCACTGCCCCCCCCCACCCCCATCTTTTTACGCTGCTGCTACTCTGTTAATTATTTATGCATAGTCACTTTAACTCTACCCACATGTACATATTACTTCAACTAGCCGGTGCCCCCGCACCGGTACCCCCCTGTATATATAGCCTCCCTACTGTTATTTTATTTTACTTCTGCTCTTTTTTTCCTCAACACTTTTTTGTTTTATTCTACTTTTTTATTAAAAAGAAATGCACTGTTGGTTAAGGGCTGTAAGTAAGCATTTCACTATAATGTCTGCACCTGTTGTATTCGGCGCATGTGGCCAATAAAATTTGATTTGATTTTATTTGAGATATGCCAAATAGCAGTCTAAATACCACTTGAGGGCAAATAAATCAGATTTGACCGTTCAGACAAGTCGCAAGGCCAGGAATCAGATTTGTATCAGATTTCAAACCACATACGAAGGTGACTTGTAATATCAGATTCCATGTCCTTTTTGGCTGTTCAGAATGCAGGAAAATTACAGATTCGAATCGGAGATGCAAAAGAAATTGGATTTGAATCACTTCAAACTGCCAATGTGAACACGGCTTTAGTGGCATAGGCTATAAGAATGCACCCACAACACACAAGCACACATTCTAGTAAGTGAAGGTTCTGTTCTGTCTAAGCATCAAACCCATGTATTTGCTGTTAGTCGGGCCCTATAAAATCCACGATGTGGAGAATGATGGCGGAATCACCGAATCCAGACATCAAAACGCAATTCAACAATATTCAAAAACGTATTGAATTTAGTAGGGAATCAAGTAAATGTATTGAAAAGTAATACATTTGCCCAAGTTTATCATAAGACATGAACAGAATGCATCAATGATTTGTATTTCCTGCAACTTTCTGAAGAGGCAACGAGAATGCCCGTCTGTGTGAGGTGCGAGCGTCTACCACTTTGTGTAGCCGTTAGCGATGATGCTAATGAAAACCTGTCTTCTGATAGATGGAAAGGCTTTCCCAAACTTTCTCAATTAATGTTAACTACAAAGTAGCCTATGCTTACCTGGCCGAATGATATCATGAGTATTTGTTTAGCAAACTCTACCATCATGTCTACTACAAAAACAACATTCTCTTGGTAGGTGCTCACTTGAATTAAAATCTAAATATCTTACGATTTTTCCCAGACCTAAAGAATTGTCTCCTGGTGTGGTTTAAGCATTGTTGTGGACTTATAACATCCAATTTTGTTGTTTTTCTATTAGAAAGTGTGGTTTTGAGAGCGAAAACCTGACAAAACAGGAAAAACTCAGAAACCTGGAAAAACTCTGAGAAAACAGAATTTGGTAGAGAATTTTTTTTATCCCAAACATGAACTGATTTTATGGGGCCCTATGTTAGCACATCTCTGGCAAAGAAAAAGAAAAGCACCAAGCAACTGTGGTCAGGTCACACTGTTTTCACCGTAGCTATAGAAAATAATGCAATACTATCCAGTCTGTTGCATTCCATTCGTTGACCCTGAGATCTTGATGTTACACAACACCACACGACATGAGCATGCAGCACTATTAGCTTATTTAATGATCGTAAAGTGTGTGAAAGCCTGCACCAGGAAAGTAGTGCAGTGTGTAATTTGGTGTGTTCATGAGCATGCACTAGAATGCAAACCTACTGCAAAACCCAGTCAGTCAGTGAGTGCCTGGGGTGGAAGCCACTTCCCCCACCCATTGTTTGGACAAGAGTGATTCCAGAGCTATGGATGTTACATTTGCATGCAAAACCACAACTTTAAATGTCTCACAGAATGGACAAACAAAATAGAAATTAAATGTTTGATGTGTGTGTCTATAGTACCCCTTGGGGGGAGTGTATACAATATTGCCATTTTGGTTTCACTTTAAAATGACAAAATAATTTTTTTTATAAGATTGACCTTACGCTGGAATTATCCATATGCATATTAAACCCCAGTGACCCAAAAGTAGGTTGAGGCCTGCAGGAAACATAAGGATTGTGTGGGTGCTTGTCTTCAAACTGCAACTGAACCCTGAGTGGGTAAAAATCACTAGGGATCATCACAGTAGATAGCAAAGCACTCAAAACCTGCATTTACCCAATATAAACTGAGCAGACCTTCCAGCCAAAGTAAGCACAGGTTGGTGTAGAAACACTGCCATGTATGCTGGCTGAGGACTGAAGTCAGTTAATGCAGGTAGGTCTGGAATCCGAACTGACAAGTTTCCTCACGAATCCTCCACAGCTAGGCTCGAAAAACAAGTGTAGCCCGGAGTTGACTACCATGAAAACATGATATCCACCTCACAAACTAGACAACAGGAGAGGGTATCTGGCGACAAGACATCAACAACTTCATACGAAAACAGAGCATGGCCATTGTCTGCTCACCAGAAATAGAATAACAGGAGCCCTCAATGTGTAGCCTAGCCTACATCCATACCAAAGCAAACAAACATTGAGAGAAGCACTGAACAAATACCTGATACAGTATTCATGAAAACACTCATGTATCATGTCTGTGTTTCCATCTCATGAGCAAAGAGAAGGAAGAGGATGCCACAGGTGGAGACTTCTGGGAACAGGGGCTAGGGGGGAAGGGGGTGGGGGCGTTCTGAGATGCCCCCTCCCTGGGTTCCGATGTAGAACTGCTGCCAGGGAATCAAAGCCCCAACCCATGATCCTCTGGGGCTCCCCCTGTGAGCCACTGATGAGCCCCTGTGCCACAGAGCGAGCAGCGCCATGACACACAGCAACACAGCAGCCTCAGAGGACAGCCACCTTGGCAATCAATCCCCCCTGGCACCAAGGTGGAGACATTTCAAAAGAGGAGAGGGCGTTTATGGGAAACTGCTTTAATTCATTCCTTGAGGAGGACAACGCAGACCTATATTGAGCTTCACAGCACACAGTTTCAGCAATGGCTGCAGAAAAACCAAATCTACCACCTACGCAAGGACATACATTAACTATTAACCTATCCCAAACCTTTACCTAATTTAGCTTTTTCTATTTTGAGTGCAGGTTTGTCAATGTGTTCTGTTACACATTCTTGTCTCTACAAAAAGGTATCCAACATGTTAGCCAAGATACCAAAAAGCTCACAGCTTTGAGTAAGCAAGCACAGTGCTTCATACATTGCCGCTATGATAACAGGCCCTTCTGAGAAGCGAAGATGTCATTCTCATCACAGGGATTCTTCAATCTAATGCCTTATGAACCAACCAGCCCCGCTAACATTGACAGCATTACATACTGGAAATGCACTCACAGGAATGGCCATTTGTTTAAACTAATTTCTGCATACAAAGAAGATGGAACACCTAGACAACAACCTTTGAGTGATTAAGCATTGGTTTCCTATTAGCGCACGGTACTATATACTACATCCTTGATAAAAAAGGTTTTGACATCTCAAATACAGGCTTGAGAGAATAGTGCCATGATGTAGGCCTATTTCAATACAACTACAATTCTGTGGGCAGAACAGACGTGATTACTTCTGATGAACAGTCATATCACTGTTTTTATCAAGTCAAACTAAAACTGACAAAAACCCCAAAAAAACATGCTAATGTGCTGAGGGGAAATGCTGAAATGGGCCCCACTATTATCATTATATAACTGTGCCACTGCTCTGCAATATGGCATCCAGTGGGTTGTAGAAGCTGCCATAGTTACAAGGGAATGTGTGTAACTACAATTAAGTTTATTTCTAGCTCATATCATTTTAAAGGTGCTCTGACATTTCCTAAAATTATAATAGTTCGCCTAATTTCAGTTTATGTGACAAAACAAGCAAGTATAGTGTAGAGAATCATTGTACTATCTAAACCGCTGTGAAATATATTTTCCTTAACCAAAACTATAGTATTTTCAGCTGCTTGAAGCTGGTGTACAAAACCGAAAGTAAAAGACGCAAGAACTACATTTAAGAACGGGAAGCATAGAAATAGAACACATAGATCAGAGCTACTGCATCCAAAGCCCCGTTTCCACTGGCAATTAAAATGTGGGCCTAATTTGAGCTGGCTCGAATTGAATTCACAACCGGGGAAAGCGCAGCCCAGTTACACAACTGGTGTCAGCTCAATTCGAATTGGGGCTGGTGACGCCATTACTATGCAACCACCAAGCTGATCACTGCTGGATGCTGATACAACGTTTAGCTAGCTGGTCTGGGCTTGCTGCTGTTAGCTAGCACATAGACAAGCAGTACTGCAGTAGCCAGACATGACACGAATTACCACCATAGCTGGATCCTTCATTCATTTTTGCACTACACAATAAACTTTTATGAGAGCTGTCAGCCCTCAAATGCTAGCTACCTAACCTTAGCTAGCAAATCAGAGTTGAAACATCCTAGCTAACGTAAGCGAGCAGGAATTTTTGCTGGCCCGGTCTTATTGAAACTAGCTACATCATATCAAACCTGTCGTATGGTTTGCTAGGTTAGCTAGCTAATAGCCAATGCCATGGCAATCAATGTAGGAATTAAGCTACTGTAACTAGCTAGCCTAAACGTTAGCGAACGCCAGCACTATGGGGTAACGTTAGTTACAGCATGGTGAGGGTGAATTAAATTCTTCAACATATTGCTAGCTAGCAACATTAGCGAAGCCAGCTGCAGTCACATTTGGCTACCTAGCAACATGACATCATTTCTAATTTCTGGAGGCAGTGGAAACGCAATTTGAGCTAGCCCACCAAGGCCAGCCCAGCCTGGGTTGACTTCAAAGCGCCAATGGAAACGGGGCTTTAGTCTCGCTTTCAATGAGAATGACAGATCTACAACTCACATTTCTATGTGAATTTGTTCGGGTCGCCCAAAAAGTTACATATTGCAGCTTTAAATCAATCCAGTGATGTGTTATTGTTCTCCAAATTGTGACTATGAGATGGGGTGTCTTCTATCATAGATAAAGAGTGGCATCCACGCAAAATTAATGGCATCAACATCGTGAACACAAATCAAAACATTTCATGAGGGAAGAATTATGGGTGCTTTTTATACTGGAACAGTACAGAGAATTTAGGGCAGGATAATTAACGATTGACTGGTCCCAAGTGTACACATCAAGTTTCCTAATAAGGAGTCATTCGGTTGACAATGTTCTCCTTCATGAAAGAAAATAATAAAATACAACCATTGTGACAGCAAGCCTATTTGCCTAATGTTTTCTGGCTTGTACTAGGCCTCAGTCTGAGATAATTCCTCATTTGGTCTCTGGCTCTTTTAGGTACGTAACCCTACTAATTTTCCAAGCCTGTCTATTTCATCTTTATTAGCAATGCATAAAGATAGTAACAAAAGCCATACCAAATTTGAAATAGACTGCTGCAAGTTCTTCAGCAGTTTGTTTTCTTCTCTAGCAATATTAACTTAAGTCAACAAACTGGTCAACAAACCCAACACGCTCCCAGGCTGATTTGACAGCGCAGTTTCATTACTTGAAAATAATGTGATAAACATTCATCATCATCATCATCATCATCACCCTCTCTGATGTGTCAGTCACAAATTCAAAATATTTTGATGTTGCCCAACGTTAGCCAGCACTAGTAAGCTAACGTTTAATTAAGTAAGTTTAACATGGAATGGTCGTATTTGGTTAACTTAGCTATTTGGGTTACGTCAGAGTTCATCGTAAAATGTAATAAATAAACGGCTATAGCTACATGGCCTTGGCTAACTAGCTAGCTAACTAGTTTACTTAGTTAGCAAGATGGCAGGGCTGCAAGGCTTCACATTCAAAGGTTGGGTTTCTAATGAACTTGCTGATGAGATCCTATTTGTTAATAACCAATGTAGCTAGCTACCTAGTTCGTTAGTTAGCCAACCCCAAAATGGCTCACAACAATTAGCTACCACCACAGATTAGCTCCCACCACACTACCGTACCAAGCTAACTTGGCTAGCTAACGTTAACTACTGAATCTTCAGAGCAAACAATAGCTTGCTAGCTACAGTACGCTGGCTACTGCCTGGCCGTGTTAGCCAGCTAACGTTGAGAGAAAAACAAAGACAGTTAACTAGCTAGCTCTATTGACTCAACACATACCTGTACTCTCTTGGAAATGTGCTTCTGTGTTATTTCTTGGCTCCCTTTGAATTGCATATGCCCTGGATGAACTTAAATAATAGACACAAGTAAATCGCGATCGACCGACAGTCACCGGGTTGTGAAACTGACAACAGGAACAAAATCGAAGTGGGCCCGTCGGAATAACCAACGTCGTTACAAATCAGCGCCTGGCTAAAAACCCGAGAGAGAAAAAAATACAATTTTTCTTGGCTTTTTGTGGCATATTAACACGCTAGGCAATACATACTGTTTTTTCTACGATAAAACACAAATCCCATTCCCCATCAGGGCCCTCGATGAAGTCCCCATTCCTGCCTCTTCGAGGCGTCCACTCTTGTTTACCCAGGTCGAGTCGTCCGTCTACTCTCGCTGGCACCTAGGTTGGGTTGCTGGACCTGTGTGAAGCTAGCCACAATAAGGATTAGCCACAAAAGTGCCTGGAATTTGCGGTCCGCCTTCAAAATAAAAGTACCCCATTGACACATGAAAACTGATAAAAATTGTGGAATAATGCCATATTTGGAATAGATACTGCTAAACAAGGTTGGAATGTTGTTAATTAAATTCAACAAAAGACAATAAGTAGTTAATTTGACACAAACAAATGTAAGTCGCGCTGTGGATGTATTAGACTTCAGAATTGCGTTGGGTGCATACTTATATGCCCTGCACAGCCTTACCTATTGATCTTGGGTCCATGAAATGGGGTATCAGCCTACTCGTGACACCCACAGAACACTTTTTTATTTTTTTGTAAAATTAACTACTTATTATCTTTTGTTGGCTGATATCCCATTTAATGGACCCATAGGTAAGGGTGTACCGTGCAATATGAATGTCAATACACATAGTAGGTTGACTGGTGAGCTAATGTGGCTCAGTCCACACTGGTGTCAAAGTCCCGCAATAAGTGCTATGACGCTAATATTTGTGTACACTCTTTACAGTGGTGTTTTGATTGGTGTCACCGAGTAGGCTGATACCCCATTTCATGGACCCAAGATCCATAGGTAAGGCTGTAGGCTACATTGCAATATGAATGTCCAATACGCACAATAGACTGACTGGGGAGGTGATTTCACACAGTCAAAGTCCTGCAATAATATTGGTGTAAACTCTTCACATTCGTGTTCTGTGGGTGTCACTGAGTAGGTTGATACCCCATTTCATGGACCCAAGATGATGATCCACAGGTAAGGCTGTACATAGCAATATGAATGTCAATACACAGTAGGTGTCGAAGTCCCTATTTCAGTCCAAGTCAAGCACACTCTACATTCATACAGTTTGACTGTCCAGCTCGCTAATAATCACCAAAATGAAAGCTAGACAGTCAGGGAGCATCGACATTTTAAAAAATGATGGATAGAGGACTATCTTTTACAAATTTGGATGGCAAGGAAATATATACAATTTTCAGTGCGGCCCTCCGGACCTCATTCAAGACCAAATCTGGCCCCCGGGGGCAAAATGACTTTGATACCCCTGTATTAGAGGAAGGTTTCTATACCGTCTCTGGTTAACTTTCTGCAATTATGCGTGGTAGTATATACAGATATTGGTGATAATGCACGATAGCTACGTCAACATTGCGAGCCGTGAGGAGTAATGGCGGCTGGTAGAGCTTTTTGAGTCGAAGCGACATGGCGGAAAATTCAAGATACAAGAACCATTTAAACAGTTTGCTATGATAGCGGATGAAGGAGCGGAAAAAGCATGGAGATGTGGAAATGGATAGCGAGGAAGAAAGAAAGCAGTTGAGTGTAGAGGGAAGCTGTGTGGTGAGGAAGATTGGCATCAAGTACAAAAAGAAAAAAACGCACTCCAGTAACTCAGAAAGGATGAATTACCTGCGGTGGCAGGTGCGGTGAAGACGCAGAGTACTGGCCTCGTCAGGATGATGACAAGGATGATTCTGGCCCAGTGGGAGTGAGATTTTTGGAGCGAATGGATCCTTGCCTTCTGGCTGAACCATATGTGGTGTCAGGATGGGTTAGAGAGGAGGTTGGAGACTGTTGAATCAGTGAAAATAACTCGAAGTGGACTGGTGATGATTTTCTGTGTGTCTTCTGTCCAGAGGGAGTGGGCCCTCCGCACCTCGCCCTCAGGACAAGACCTGTGACTTGCTTTGCTCTCTGGAGCAGGGTACCGTCGAAAGGAGTGCTAACTGGAGTTAAGTGTTGAGGAGGACCAACTGAAATGTAAGATTCCCAGTGTCTGAGACAACTGTCGTTTGGTGCGACACAGACCCGGTGGAGAGCGTGGTGAAACAGAGAAGACACTGTCTGTCCTGCTGAGTTTTGATGCCAAGTCAAGTTAGGATGTGTCAGTTATCCCGTGAGAGCTTTTGTCCCAAACCCATTACTGTGTTTTAGGTGCCAAGCTTATTGTCATGTTGCAGCAGTATGTAGGAGGGAGATTCCTAAATGTGAAAGTGTGCAGGAGGGCATGAGACAAAGGAATGTGTAGTATCGGTGGAAAAAGCTGTATGTTATCTGTAGGGGTACCCATGGTGCTGGAGATCAGAAGTGTCTGGTGAGAGAAAGGCAGGTCGAGGTAGTACAGAAGGTGTTGTATGCTGAGGCAGTGAAGAGAGTAGTAGATGAAGATGGGTCCAGCGCGAGGGATCTTAAGAGGTTCCCTGTGAGTAGGCTGACCCCAATAGAGTGATAGGCAGAACCCCCACTCCTACACCCACCCAAGCCCCATCCTGCGACCTAAGAGGCATGTATCAGATGCTCAGCATGCTCTGCTCACAACTATTGGTCCAAGCCTAAACCACACAAATAACAACACTGGACACTATGGACCACAAAGCTTTTACTATCTCATCCTGGAATATACAAGGTCTGAGGTAATCTGCTTTTGGCCTAAAGAGCAGGAACCCAGACTTCACCAAAGAAATCAGAAATACAGACATTGTCAACCTGCAAGAAACATGGTATAGAGGAGATGGACCCACAGGTTGCCCTCTAGGTAACAGGGAGCTGGTAGTGCCATCCACCAAACTACCAGGTGTTACACAGGGAAGAGACTCGTGTGGTATGCTAATTTTGTAAAGATCAGACTTAACCCACTCCATTAAATTAATCAAAACAGGAACATTTTACATTTGGCTAGAAATTCTAAAGGAAATTATCTCAACAGAGTAAAATGTCCTCCTGTGTGCTACCTATATCCACCCACTAGAATCCCCATACTTTATTTTTATTTTTTATTTTATTTCACCTTTATTTAACCAGGTAAACCAGTTGAGAACAAGTTCTCATTTACAATTGCGACCTGGCCAAGATAAAGCAAAGCAGTGCGGTAAAAACAACAACAACACAGAGTTACATATGGAATAAACAAAACGTACAGTCAATAACACAATAGAAAATCTATATAGAGTGTGTGCAAATGTAGTAGGTTATGGAGGTAAGGCAATAAATAGGCCATAGTGCAAAATAATTACAATTACAATTTAGTATTAACACTGGAGTGATAGATGTGCAGAAGATGATGTGCAAATAGAGATACTGGGGTGCAAATGGGCAAAAGAAATAACAATGTAAATAACAATATGGGGATGAGGTAGTTGGGTGGGCTAATTACAGATGGGCTGTGTACAGGTGCAGTGACCGGTAAGCTGCTCTGACAACTGATGCTTAAAGATAGTGAGGGAGATAAGTGTCTCCAGCTTCAGAGATTTTTGCAGTTCGTTCCAGTCATTTGCAGCAGAGAACTGGAAGGAATGGCGACCAAAGGAGGTGTTGGCTTTGGGGATGACCAGTGAGATATACAGTGAGGGAAAAAAGTATTTGATCCCCTGCTGATTTTGTACGTTTGCCCACTGACAAAGACATGATCAGTCTATAATTTTAATGGTAGGTTTATTTGAACAGTGAGAGACAGAATAACAACAAAAAAATCCAGAAAAAAACGCATGTCAAAAATGTTATGAATTGATTTGCATTTTAATGAGGGAAATAAGTATTTGACCCCCTCTCAATGAGAAAGATTTCTGGCTCCCAGGTGTCTTTTATACAGGTAACGAGCTGAGATTAGGAGCACACTCTTAAAGGGATTGCTCCTAATCTTAGCTGGTTACCTGTATAAAAGACACCTGTCCACAGAAGCAATCAATCAAGATTCCAAACTCTCCACCATGGCCAAGACCAAAGAGCTCTCCAAGGATGTCAGGGACAAGATTGTAGACCTACACAAGGCTGGAATGGGCTACAAGACCATTGCCAAGCAGCTTGGTGAGAAGGTGACAACAGTTGGTGCGATTATTCGCAAATGGAAGAAACACAAAATAACTGTCAATCTCCCTCGGCCTGGGGCTCCATGCAAGATCTCACCTCGTGGAGTTGTAATGATCATGAGAACGGTGAGGAATCAGCCCAGAACTACACAGGAGGATCTTGTCAATGATCTCAAGGCAGCTGGGACCATAGTCACCAAGAAAACAATTGGTAACACACTACGCCGTGAAGGACTGAAATCTTGCAGCGCCCGCAAGTTCCCCCTGCTCAAGAAAGCACATATACAGGCCCGTCTGAAGTTTGCCAATGAACATCTGAATGATTCAGAGGAGAACTGGGTGAAAGTGTTGTGGTCAGATGAGACCAAAATCGAGCTCTTTGGCATCAACTCAATTCGCCGTGTTTGGAGGAGGAGGAATGCTGCCTATGACCCCAAGAACACCATCCCCACCATCCAACATGGAGGTGGAAACATTATGCTTTGGGGGTGTTTTTCTGCTAAAGGGACAGGACAACTTCACCGCATCAAAGGGATGATGGACGGCGCCATGTACCGTCAAATCTTGGGTGAGAAACTCCTTCCCTCAGCCAGGGCATTGAAAATGGGTCGTGGATTGGGTATTCCAGCATGACAATGACCCAAAACACACGGCCAAGGCAACAAAGGAGTGGCTCAAGAAGAAGCACATTAAGGTCCTGGAGTGGCCTAGCCAGTCTCCAGACCTTAATCCTATAGAAAATCTGTGGAGGGAGCTGAAGGTTCGAGTTGCCAAACGTCAGGCTCGAAACCTTAATGACTTGGAGAAGATCTGCAAAGAGGAGTGGGACCAAATCCCTCCTGAGATGTGTGCAAACCTGGTGGCCAACTACAAGAAACATCTGACCTCTGTGATTGCCAACAAGGGTTTTGCCACCAAGTACTAAGTCATGTTTTGCAGAGGGGTCAAATACTTATTTCCCTCATTAAAATGCAAATCAATTTATAACATTTTTGACATGCGTTTTTCTGGATTTTGTTGTTGTTATTCTGTCTCTCACTGTTCAAATAAACCTACCATTAAAATTATAGACTGATCATTTCTTTGTCAGTGGGCAAACGTACAAAATCAGCAGGGGATCAAATACTTTTTTCCCTCACTGTACCTGCTGGAACGCATA